AAAAACAGCATCTAACAAAATTGAAAAACTTTGATGATGAAATCAAAGAAAAAATACATGAAGAAAAAAAAATATATATAATTAATTAATTTTACGTTACATGTGACAAAACCAAACAGAAATATCTCGATTCAAATTGAACTCAGGCTGATGAAGTTACTGAACCATTATGAATATTTTTTTTATTTAAATTTATTAATAGAAGAAAAATAAATGCAAGGAATAAGTTAAAGGATATAACGAAATCGATACCAAATTTGTTACTTTTGACTATTTTGAAATTTGACTATTTTTTAATATTTGTAAAATAAAGTACGAACATCTTGAAATCCACATTAGAAAAATAAGTTAAAGAAATATCTGTTACATTTCACTATTTGTGCCCCAAAGGTACAGAACACCATGTACATTTTTTTATTAAATGATTCAGTAACTAAGAAACAAATTTTAATAACTCAAAGCTATGGAGCATTGGCTCCCATGAACAGTTGTGAAAATATGACATGGTGTTTTTTATCTCAGAGATACAGATATGAGAGAAATATTAGTTAATTTTTTAATACTTTCCCTATATAATGCATCAGAAGAATTGATTTATGTTTTTAAGGAGGAAAGAAACATTAACAGGAAAGAAAGAATAAATACTGTAATTATTATTTATTCTGTATATACAACAATGCATTTTAAGCATAACTGACACAACCAATATTATTAATGTATTTGTAAGAAAAGAAAAACCGAACCAAAATTATATAAAGGAAACATGTAAAACTTATGAATTCTTAATAAATTAATTCGATGTTTTCATGATGATTTTCTATTACTTCCTTTTGCTTATAACTTAAATAATTCTTGAAACCGCCCAAAACTTTTAATTAGTTACTAATCTTCATCCATCCCTGCTTAGTTAACAGAAAATTCTTCTTTTTTACCACCAAAAAAGTTTCATACTGTAATATACACCTTTATTGGAAGTGGATAAATTAAATGTTGAACAATTAAAAGGCAAGCTAATCTAGTTCTACTAGTGCAGGAAAAAGAAAATGGCTGCTCTGTAGTTTCCCAAGAAGGAAAATCCTAGAGAGGAAAGGGACAAAGGTTTTTTTTTTGGAAAACAGTTGTTGTGTGACTGCAGTGAAGAGAAGTTAAGAGAAGATATCCTATCCTGGCTCCAGTGGGTAAAACCCAGTAATAGTTTTTCCATCTTAGAAGATCTTGTTTGGCAGGGAGGATAGTTGTTTGGAATTGCAGGAGAGAGGATTTCCCAGAGAGCTTGAGTTGAGTGGAAGAATAGTGTTACCATTTTGGGATATGTGTTTGGCAGAACATAGGAAAATGTGTGAAGACAAATGAGTTCCATGCCAAAAAGAAGAAACATTGTAAGTAAAAAAAAGGTTAGCTTGTCAATTCATATTTGACTTTATTTTTAAACCAGTGTTTAATTTTAATATAAATAGTGTAAATAATAATAGTTTGTCTGAGTTGATCTGATTGTCAGTAACCCACACCCGAGATAAATAAATATATTAATACTCTTATAATTTTTTTTTTTTATTTAACAACCTCTTATTTCTTTTGGAAGTATCCTAAGCGTATAAAGTGATCTTCTGAGGTTATATTATTGTTATTATTATTTTAAAATATAAGAGGGATGTTACAATATATTTTCAATATGTAAAATGGGAAATTTTTTGTCAAATTTAAATATGTGACATACAAATTGTAAAATTTATTAAACTTGTAGTACAAGAAGTATTTGCACACCATAGGAAATCCTGATTAAATGGAAAAAAGAAATAAATATTCATGATATAATTTCCCAAAATGAAGCTTCTTTTATTCCTCAACTATCTGGTACCAATGAATAATAATGACAAAGAAACTAAGGCAAGAAATGAATTACTCTATAACAGAGAAAAATTTTCTATTTAAGACATTTTCTGGATGGCTCATAATAAAATTATACAATGTTATTCTAATTTCTTATGAATGAGAAAACTCACTGATTAAAAAGGAGTTGCGCTATGGAAAGAAGAAAAATATATTTCTTCATATAAAATATGAAAATTGGGTAGTTCTGAAAAATTACTTAGTTCAATCAAGACTTTCTTACAAATCTGCAGTTTACCATTTGCACATAAAGCTATAATTGTTAAAAGTTTACATTCCTTATTAAATCCCTGATGGTCTGCACAGGTGGGTGGATCTAAGGGGGGCTTTATGGTAAAATGGAAACATTTATTATTGTTTGTGTAATTACATTTAAATATAATTATTGTCCCTGTGACAGAATATTATATGTCTAATAAATAAATAAAAAAATAAATAAAAAAATTATATTTAATAGTACTTCAAGAATCACTTAGACACCATTTCATAGAGGTAGTTAGTATCTTTCTTTCTTTTTTTTTTCAAAGTAATTATCGTTATATATATATGAAAAAAAAGCTTTCGGGCTGAAGCCCCTCTCCCCCTCCAAAAAAAAATTAAATCCTGGATTCGCTAGTGGTTGTGTGCAACCAGCGGATAGGTGAAAGTTATCATTGAGTTATAAACAGCAGCTATTATATATTATGATGTTCTAGAGCTTATTTTATATTTGATTATAATTACAGCATAAAGTCAGTTATAGCATGAGCAAGAAACTAAAACCTAAGCAATAATTATCTTTGATTCACCCATCGAAGTACACTTATTAGCACTTATACACTTAATAAGGTCAACACATTTATTAGGTTATCCTATGTGATTTAATTTTACTTTGATTAAAATGTTATATTTAAATTATTTTGTTTACATTAGTTGTTGTTATTAATTCCATGAACATGGTTTCTCTTTTGAAAGGAGAGAGAATATTGGTTTTAAAAACAATTCTAAGTTATTATTTTATTTGTAAATTTAAATATTGCATTTGAATGTATGTAAATGTTCTGTGACTAAGGTTAACCCTGATAATCTCTGTTTTTGTTTTTTCTTTAGTTTTGATCACCTGTATGAGAACCAATACTTATTAGGTGGCAGTATCAAGTAACTTATCATAATACGCAGGTCATAAACAGAGTTCTAAGTGAAGATAAATTATAACCATTTAAGACCAAATCGCGTAGTACTTTTAGAAGAAACCGATAACATACAAACATATTTATTAATGAAGCACCAGAAGAGGTAAAAACTATTTGTTGGCAAAAATTATTTGGTGATAATTTAGTATAAAACTGCCAAGTAGACTTAAATAAAAATACATTCTATAACTCTGATAAAAATAAATAAATATATTCTATGATTACTGCTGATTTTATGATTTTAGCTGATGTATGACAGATAAAAATAAATTGTAGGTAGTTAAAGCCTTGAGTAATACTAGTTAAACAATAGAAATATATCACTGATCATTAACACCAATAAACTATCAGTCAAATTATTAATTGTGGTTAAACACAAATAAAAAGTTATAATTTTTCAATTTGTATGCTTATCAGTGTTTCAAAACTTATAAAATAGTAGTCTGAAATCAACATAATAACAAAAAATCTTGTATTTTACAAGGAAATAATAAGGCTATTAAGTGATAAATTAGTCAATTCTAACTTAAACACATTTTAAGAAAAAAATAAATTTAAAAGTGATTATGATTTCATCTCATCTGGCTAATTTTTACACACTGTGTGTATTTCATTTATAGTAATTTGCCAAAGTAAAAGAATTCATGTAAGCGTAAATATATTTATATATTAAAAACCATTCAATAAGTTATTAATAATTAAAAGATCAATTGTCTGATTTTTGAATGACTAGAAATGTTATTCAACTTGCTAAGGCAAATACTCAAGAAATAAAAATAATTGTACATTTGTTGTAAATAAAACCTTGACAAATCAATTTTTTTTTAAATATTTATATTAATGAATAAATGTCATAATTATAAGACATTGGCTTTTTTATTGATAGTAGCTTTTTTTCAGGTTTTCAAAAACATAAATTAACAAAAAAAAAATATCATTAAAACAGAAAATACTGGATATTTATCAGGATAGTGAATTAAACTAATTATATATGTCAAAAATCTACAACTAATTTTCAATTTATAAATGTTTGTTATCTAACTATTCTTCGTGAGGTGGTTAACTTAACATCAGTTATAATTCTTATTTCAACACTGAAACCTACTTTTTAAGAATTTCCTTTATTAATATTATCCTAAGTAAGTGTAAAAGAATTAGGTTTTTTCTGGAAAATTTGAGTAATCATTTTTTTCCGAATAAGGGATGTATTTAGTCAACAAATGGATATTACCAATTAAAATGTATAATTATAATAAAATATTTACACTGAGAAAAATATCTAGATTTTCTCTTCTAGGACTTGCCTAAGATATTATTAATTTTTAAGATTTCTCAATTGTCCTCAGTCTTTGTTTAGCGGGATTTAATTTTAAAAGTATATTTGATAACTTCAGAAAATATTATTTTTCCTCTTTTTATAATATAGATTTCTTGATTGTTTTATTTATGATTTATTTCAATTAGTATAAAATAAAGTAAAATAATATTATGAGAATAAAAAATAAAGATCCCATATGGGGCCCCTCTCATTGTAAAAAAAAGAAAGGTTTATTTAAAATGACAAAACTGTCTAAATCGTTCATAAAATATTGAGAATATATTAAAAATTCTTCCAAATGTAATTTATCAAATATAATTTTTGGTTATTTTACTGATAACAAGAAGAGTAATTAAGAACACAATTAACGTGATAAAACTTTTTTAAACATGTAACGAATATTTTAGTGGGAACCATTTAAATAATTTAAAATTAATTTTTGGGTCAATGCAATATTTTTTTATAATAAATTTAAATATTGTCCCAGAATATTTAAGTGATTATAATCACTGGCTTGCACGAATGGAAGGTTCCATAAAAGCGCTGTAAGGTTATGTTTGTGTGTTTGGGAGGGTAAAGTTTTATTTCAAATTTCTTTTAGTTTTTTGTTTAATTTCAAGATGAGCGCTCAAGCTGCAACTAATCCTAAATACAAACCAGTGAAACCCACCGTAGATGAGATTAAAGAAGATCATATAACTCAACTTGCAGCAGACTATTGGGCACCAAGCACTGTTGAGAACCAGAAACCCTTTGATCCCGAAATAATTGAAGTTATTTACCAGAAGGAAATCAAAGGAACCAAATTCAACATCCGAAGGATCATGATGTTGGAAGTGAGTCAGTATTTAGAAAGATATCTTTGGCCTAATTATATCACTGGTGTTTCTTCTCACAATCACATGATGTCGATAGTGGTCATGATGAATGAGAAATTTCGGGAAAGAGTAGAAGCATGGACATCTATCAAAAAGCAGCCAGAGCATGCAGACGGATTTTTGAGACAGATGTTTCACGCTAGTTTAGAAGAAGATGTGAAATTAAGCTTTTTAGAAAAGAAGACTTTGATCCTATTTTTAACTAATACATTTAATAGCATTGAAGTTGAGTTGATAAGAGAACAAATCAAACGTCTTGTTTCTTTATCTTCTTGGTCGTGCCTTCATCAAAATCGCAGAATTCAAGAACTAAATAAAGCACCGAAATGGGAAAAATATTATAAGAAGTTAATGAAAAAACGGAAAGATGAATCTGAAAATGATGCAGAATGGGAGAGAAAATTTTTATATACGTTAATGCTGAATTTTCTTAACCATTTAGAAGAAGTTTCTGCTGATGGACCTATTGCCCCGGAAGTGATTCACTATTGCGAAAGGTTTTTGGAATTTCTTATTGATTTAGAAGCATCATTGCCTACACGCAGATTTTTCAATGCTCTGCTCGATGACTGTCAATTAGTGTTGCGATGTCGTGTTTCAGCTTTACCCAGAAGGGAAGAAGGTCATTTGTTCTCACAACTTCTTGATACACTCAAGTTCTATGCCAGGTTTGAGATTAATGATATCACAGGCGATCCTTTAACTGATGCTCAAATGTCCCAAATGCATTATGACAGTATCAATTTCTTGCAAAAGGTTGTTTTTTCAAAGTATCCTGCTCTCAGAGAGTTTTCTTTGAAAAACGTTTCTAGCATTGATACTCGTGAAAATATTTTAAAGTATTTTTCAAAATTGGATAAAGAAGCCTTGAGAGAAATTACAGCTCATCTTAACCTTGTACCACCAGCTGAAAGGGAACAGGAAGAATATTGGTACAGAACTGATCCACTTTTCATGATAGAATTGCTTGCTTATCGCCATGAAAAGCGAATCTCTCAACTCGATGAAATAAACAACATGCCTCTTTATCCCACAGAAGAAGTAATGTGGAATGAAAATATAGTCCCTTCAGATTACTATTCCGGAGAAGACTGCTTAGCATTACCTAAATTGAATTTACAGTTTCTTACTTTGCACGATTATTTGTTAAGAAACTTTAATTTATTTAGACTTGAATCATCGTATGAGATCAGGCAAGATATAGAAGATGCTATTTGTCGTTTGAGCCCTTGGAAGACCGAAGATAGTGAAAATAATATTTATTTTGGCGGTTGGGCAAGGATGGCCCAACCTATCAAAAGTTTTCTAGTTGTTGAAGTTGTAAAGCCGAGAATAGGAGAAATGGTTCCTGCTAGAGTTGTTGCTGAAGTAACCATCAATCTAGACGTTAAGTCAGATGTTAAAAAAGAATGGGAATCGTTACGTAAACATGACATTTGCTTCTTGATTGCAGTTCAACCTAATCTTCCTATAGGTACGAATTACAATTTGAGACATTCGTTTCTAGAACAAAGTGGTTTAAAATATATCAGAGGATGTGAAGTTTTAGGAATGTTAGATGAGGAGCATAGAATTATTGAGGATTTCCCTGATGCTCCCAAACCTACCTTCACTTCTAACTCAAGAACATTCAGAGTATTGTTAGATACGAATCAATACAAAATGGATATGGATATTATTTCTGAGGTAAATGATGATTTTTATGCTAATTTTAACGTCATCGTGCGTCGAAAAACTAAAGAAAATAATTTTAAAGCTGTTCTCTTTACGATAAGGCAATTAATGAATTCTGAATGCGTTGTACCTAGTTGGCTTCATGATATTTTACTTGGGTACGGAGATCCTGGTGCAGCACACTATTCCCGAATGCCGAATGAAATAGCTTCATTGAATTTCAATGATACATTTATTGACTTGGACCATTTGAAGGCTAGTTTTCCAGAATATGAAGTATTGATTAAAGATGAATGTATAAAACCACCTTTTAAATTGACTTTTGAGGATGTGTTGGCAAAAAAAGAAGGAAAGAAATTTAGTAAAAAGTTTATCTCTGTAGAGCATCAGAAATATATCCCCAAAGGGCCTTACCCGGTAACTTTAAGAAGAAACCAAATATACTTCACTCCTACTCAAGTAGAAGCAATCAGAGCGGGTATGCAGCCAGGGTTAACTATGGTGGTAGGTCCTCCAGGTACCGGAAAAACTGACGTTGCTGTTCAGATCATATCGAATCTTTATCATAACTTCCCGAATCAAAGGATTTTGATTGTAACTCATTCTAATCAAGCATTGAATCAACTTTTTGAGAAAATCATCAAGCTCGATATCGAAGATAGGCATTTGCTTCGTCTCGGTCATGGTGAAGAAGAATTAGAAACAGACAAAGATTTCAGCAGGTATGGTAGAATAAATTCAATTTTAAGTAAAAGGTTAGAATTGCTGGAAGATGTTCAGAGACTTCAGAAGTGTTTGGATGTACAAGGTGACATGTCCTTTTCATGCGAAACAGCAAGATATTTCTATCTAAATTATGTCTATGCTAGTTGGGAAAAATATAAAGATTCTATAACATCTGAAGATGGAAAGGAAGTTCCCGTTGACATGATATCTGAAAAATTTCCATTTCATGATTTCTTCAAAGATGCACCACAGCCATTATTTAAGAAAAATGATTATGAAGAAGACTATGAAACTGCACTGAGCTGCTTCAGGTATATCGAAGAGATATTTACTTTGCTCGATGAATTTAGAGCGTTTGAATTGCTTCGAGGAGGTGCTGACCGTTCTAAATATCTGTTAGTGAAAGGAGCAAAAATAATAGCTATGACTTGTACTCACGCAGCTCTTAAAAGGTCTGAATTAGTAGAAATGGGTTTTAAATATGATACAATATTGATGGAGGAGTCTGCTCAGATACTTGAAATCGAAACTTTTATCCCACTGCTGGTTCAAGAGGCAGAAGACGGTTTCAATAGATTAAAACGTTGGATCATGATTGGTGATCATCATCAGCTTCCTCCTGTTATCAAAAATATGTGTTTTCAAAAATATTCAAATATGGAACAGTCGCTTTTTACTCGCTTTGTACGACTCGGTGTTCCAACTGTTGACTTAGATGCTCAGGGTCGAGCTCGACCAGGTATTTGTGACCTGTACAACTGGAGGTATAAGAAACTTGGTAATTTAAGTCATGTTGAAAATGAAGTAGAGTACAAATTAGCAAACCCTGGCTTCCAATTTGAATATCAGTTTATAAATGTTGAGGATTTCAATGGCGTCGGCGAATCGGAGCCAAGTCCTTATTTTTATCAAAATCTTGCAGAGGCTGAATACATTGTGGCGGTATATATGTACATGAGAGTTTTAGGTTATCCTGCTGAAAAAATTTCAATTCTTACCACCTACAATGGACAAAAGCACCTGATCAGAGATGTAATTAATGTAAGATGTGCTTCAAACAGCCTCATCGGAAAGCCCCATAAAGTTGCTACTGTAGATAAATATCAGGGGCAACAGAATGATTACATCCTGTTATCATTGGTTAGAACTAAATCTGTCGGGCACATACGTGACATGCGACGTTTGGTAGTAGCCCTATCGAGAGCAAGGTTAGGTTTGTATGTTTTTGGCAGGGCATCTTTGTTCTTCAATTGTTTCGAACTTAGGATGCCAATGTCTCAGTTTCAGAGGCGGCCCTTATTTCTTCACATTTTGCCGCATGAACATTACAATGTTCAGAGAGAACTGATTACTAACCCATCAGTAGAACCTACTGTTATAACTGATATGGTAGCTATGGCAAATTTTGTTTATGCATTTTATCACAATCTGTATTATCAATCTCAAATGAATTCTCAATCAACTTCAAAAGAAGCAAGAGAGAAAAATTGGCGTGAGCCTGGAGATATGGTCAGTGAGCTTCCAAAGTTTGCTGTGTCGTCGCATCCTGGTGCTGGTGCGTCTGATAGTGAGGAGGATGAGGAAGAGAGCTGAACGATCAGAAATGGACATATTTTGTAATGAACTAGAGATGTCTGTGATACCACGGTTTTCCTAATTTTTTTTCTGATCACCTATTATAATATCTTTAAAACTGTTTTCAAATGTTACTTTTTTGTAAATAGAAATATTTCAAGATTTGTAAATATAAGTTTTCTTTATGAAATTCCATGGCAATTTTTGTGAATTTCTTTGTAAATAGGAATGAACATTTTTATTTCTGTACAGATAACTTATAATAATAAAAATTAATTTTTAGTACAATGTTGTTTGTTTTTTTTAACCTAAAATCAATTGTAATTATTTAAATATCCCTTAAATTACAAATTTAAAATAATATGGTTTATGTTTAAAATAAAGAAAACTAACCCTTATAAATTTAGCTTTATTCAAGTTAATCTATAACAGCTGATTTTTTTTAAAGCTTAATTTTGCATGATTAACAAAATTTTAATTTAAGTTTTATCGTTTTAAAGTTATTTAAAAATTCTTACTCATTTCTGTTTAGTTTAAAAAAATTTATAGCAGCATTTTATTAGTCTATTCCCTTAATATCTTGGTATTTTTCATTGAAAATATCAATTAAAAAAAACTAATATTATTTAATATAAAATTCATAGTCATGCTTGGTCCCTATTCCCTGTGAATGCATTATAATATGGTTTCAGAAAATTCAGTTAACTTCTGAATATAATGTTTTGATCTACAGAAGAACTGCAATATTTGTTAACTAGCAGAAAGTAATTTGAATCGCTAATTCATTTAATTCCCTTTCCTAAGCTCCACATTAAATTTTACTGAGATTTTTGTGAACAGCAGTGGTTAAATAAAAATAATTATTTAATTTATTATTTTGAAATAGAACGATACCAGAACTAATTAAAAATTAGACTCATGGATCAAGATCATGTTTTTTTATGTTCGATGCCAATGAACATGAGAGAAAAAAATAATGAAGCAATTAAAAACCCTGAACTTTAATGGACTGCTAGAAGTTGGGTAGGAAAGTGTTACAGTTAAAAAAGAGAAACACATTCAAATATAGCAATTGTCTATTAATTATAAATAGAAATGATGTGTTTTAGATTTGAATAAAAAGTATTTAGGACGAAAGATATAGATTATTTTTATTATTATTAGATTGAATAAATTAACTTTATTAAGAATAATTCCAAAAAAATTAGGACTAAATCAAATATTTATTTTTTATTTATAAAGTTAATTTTTTGTCAAACTTAAAAATATTTAATTAATTATTAGCATGCTTAGAGGTAATTCGGTATGTAACATCTGTTTATTTGTGTTTACATCAACAACAGTATGATGTTTACATCACTTCTCCTAATATCCTTTTATATACACTATGTTTACAAAAATAAACCACTAATTCCATCTGGCAGGCAGCAACCAAATGATGTCCTCACTTGGGTTCCTCTAAGAAGCAAAAGCATCTACTTCTTTCAACAAATATTTTCTTATCTCTTAATCCTAAACATATTTAAAACTGTTAATAACATAATGTTATTTATAGCAAGATATATTTCACAAGGAAAGATTTATCAACACACTACACAAATTAATAATAACAATTCAGGCTAAGATTATGAACAATTGTTCCTATAATAGATTTAATTATCATTCTCAAATATTTTATAGCATTTACCATTTATTTAACAGCCTGCCCGTTGAAAGGTGTGACCAGACAAATTAACATTTTTCAAATAAATAATCCTTTAAGCATAGCAGATTTTAACAATTTAGTTTTATTATTTTTCATATTGAAGCTATTGCAAGCCCAATGGATTTAATAATACTAAAAAACATAAGTATAACTACAGACTTTATATAATGTAAATAGTTTATAATATTTTTATCTTAAATAAGTATATATTTTTAAAAGTATGAGTCTAAATATATAAAATAGCCAACTTTGTATATCATTCTTGAATACTATTTTACCATGAGTACCAGAAACATTTTTTTTTTAATATTGAAAAATTATCTCATTAAAAAAAAAAAGTCTAACTACACCTATAACTTTTTATTTGTTAGAAAATCTTTGGTCTTGTTTGACAAATGATTCAAGCAGATTGGAAAATTCTATCTCAGTACTTATTGTATTCGAAACTTAAGTCAATTATTTAATGGAATTAATGTCTACATAAATTCCAAATGGATCTAGGTATTGTTAAAATGAATAAATATTAACAGTAATAGAAAACATGTTCAGGACTTATCGTAAATAACTGTAATAATATATCACAAATATACAACAAAAATAATAACTAGTACTACTAATATTAAAATACAATACCAACTTTATATAATTTCTTAGAAACTTAAAATTTTATATTTCACATATAGTTTTAAATCAAAAGACCCATCAATGAAACTGAAATGACAATAATTTATATATAGCGAAACAAACATTTTTGAAAGACAAAATTTTATAATAATTAACTAACTGAACATCAACCTATGTTTTACAGCAATACATTTATTTTTTTTATTTTAACTTTGTGAAAATACTGTATTTGCTAATAGTATTTTCAATTAACAAATATATGCATATTTACATTTGCAGCGGTATATACAGGAATAATTTATTATATAAAGAATTTATAATTCAATTTTGGGTATTAATGTGATTAAAATACCATCTAAATTAAATGATTGAAAAGAAAATTTTGGATTTGGATTTGTTTGCAGTTACTTAGTAATGAGGACTAGTTTGTTAATATATTAACTTATTTATTCTGAAGACTGAAATTTACAATAAATTGTAAAATTTTGAACAAAAATACCTAATAGGAAAATTAGTAAGTGTTCAACATTTAATTTTATTTTTATTTTATATATATATTTTATAATACTTTATAAATAGATTTGATTTATAATAGTGTCAGTGAACTTTTACAAAAAAAAATCACTAAATATTTTTGGTTTATCAAAAGGAACTAATTTAGTTTTAAAAGCTTTTTTATCAGGCCGTTTCTGAACATTGTTTCTTGTTCAGCAAACTTCAAAATACAAAACAATGAGTGTTTTCTTTAATATAGAGTATTTTTATTATGGGAAAGAATAATTAATTAAAATTCTTGTCACTGAGAGAGATCGATAGTGCTGCGCTCTTTGGCAATGCCCGTGACTCACGTAGTTGCTATGGAGACAGATTATTGTAAGCGCCTTGGGTGGTCCCGTTTGAACCCCCGTGTGGTCTTTTTTTATTAATTTATTTAAGTTCTCTCGTTGTCCTCGCGACCCTGATGCCTACAGAAAGGAGATTTCGCAGAGCGTTTTTACACTCTTTCATCGAACAAAACCGCCTCGTTTTATCATTCTTAGTGATTGTTGACAAACATAGTAATGTCTCTTTGTTCCCTGGAACTAACTATCGGTAATATTCATTACTTATGCCAGGTACTGACGAAATCCAGTTCAAGTGTCGTGTGAAATTGAAGAAGAAGTCAAAATGATTTTTAAAAACGATTTTTCATTATTATTGTTTTCATTTTTTACCGAGTTGAGTGTGTTGACTTCAGCTAGAACAACTGTTTTGAACCCAGACAATTTAAATGCATTGGATTCCAATAGAGGAACAGGTGAGCCGGAAAGAATATTGAAGCATGGTAATGGTCTGTCTTGGCATAGAGTTTTCTCGTCGTCATTGGGCGATGGATTGGATTATTGTAGCACTTCGGCTAAGTGTATTCCTCTTAACTACACCACTTGTATGGGAACCAAGTTGCCTTATAGCCATACAACCTTGGATTTAGTTGATGGTCTTTCATCACAAGAGCAGGCCCAGGTATTTATCATTTCTTAATATGAATATTTATTAAACAATTTCAAGCTTGGGAATATAGATACAACATGAAAGGTGTTGTATAACAATTATTTCTGACATTCATAATATCTCCATGAAACAACCTAAATAAGTTTTATGTTATTGAGTTTTATGAATTTATTAATTATTATCAATGCCTTATTTGATATAGAATCCTAACTTTTGCTATGAATTAACTACTTATTAACACGTTAATTAATACCCATCTATTCAATGAAATCACCGTAAATTTTAGCAATCGGTATCTACTATATACTTCTGCTAGTTTATTTTTTCTTATTCAGAATTTTTCCTGAGCTTGGTATCCTATCTAATTATCTATCATTCAGCTTTTTGATGTACTAATAAAAATTTACTGTAGATTGTTTTAATGAATTATTTAACGCCTGCTAAAATATTGAATGTTTATACTTAATCACAATTGTGCCGGAAATAAAAATTAAAATGTTTGTATATCTTTACCAAAAAAAAAAAAAGTGATTTTATTATTTGCTAATATGATAATTTTGAAGTGAAAATTTCTCTAGGCACCTTTTACACTTTTTTTTGTGGAGGCGAATTAGATTGAGTTGTCAGATCTCCGAAGTGTAACACTCGGCTGGAGTCGTCTGATTTGTATATGGATTAAAACATCTCAAAAACTAAAAATCGGACCTACACATTGTTAGCAAGAGATATGTTCATCGTTCCATCCTCTTTGTAATGAGCTATTATTCAAAATTGTGTCTTAACGGGACACTGTATTAGAGAGGTGAAAAGGGGTAAAACAGTTTCATAAACCAAATAACTTATTTTATTGAAGATATATTATAAAATATCTCAGAAACTAAAAATCAGACGTGCATACTGTAAGCTAGAACATTGTTCAGTATTTCATCCTCTCTATAATGGGCTATTATTAAAAATTGTATCATAATGTGACGCTATTTTAGAGAGACGAAAAGGGAAAAAATATTGTCAAAACAAAAATTATAATGAGTTTAATTGAAGATGTAGGATGGAAATGTTCAGCATTTCATCCTCTTTATAATGAGTTATTATTTATAATTTATATTTCGTATTATTAATCTCACTTTCCTAATATTTTCAATTCTACTGTATGATCTAAAGCATTTATCTTATGTTTTTAAATTTGTTAATTAATTTTTGTGTTACTATTCTCCAAGTTCTTGGGCCTCTGTTTGTGAATTTAGTAACAAATATATTATTGATTTTTTATTAAACTCTGTTTAGGAAATACTGAGAGATTGGAGGAGACTTATTCATATTCCAAGATGCTGGGCCGTCATACAACCTTTTCTGTGTGCTTTATACATGCCACGATGTGAAGATGACAAAGTTTATTTACCTTCTCAGGTATTCTATTTTCTGGATATACCTACATTATTTAATTATTTTCTACAATTGCTTATTCAATATTTACTTTCAGGAAATGTGTAGGATAGTTATGGGACCGTGCAGAATTCTCACTACATACGAACCCTGGCCTCCTTGGTTTCAGTGCGATAACACTACCAGATTTCCTCCTCGTTGTAAAGTAATTATAATCATAGTTCTTTCAATTGATTATATTTAGGTTTCTTGTCTATAAGTAAATATTTGATGACTAAGAAGTGACAGCTTGTAACTGCTCCCCCCCTCCAAAAAAAAAAGTGGATTTCATATTTTAACATCATTATTATCATAAAACTACTCACTTTTGAATGATAAGACTTCATATTATTAGGTGAAGTCCTATGTATGTGATGAATGAAATGTCCGGAAATCTTGTGTTTGGTGGACAAACAATTCAGATAAGTCAAGAAAAACACTTTGTATATCGATTTTCCTTAAAAATTATACAAAACTTGAACAATTAGAAGATTTTTTATCAATAGTTCTTTTTGTCTTCACTGTTATGTAGAGATACATTACACCATTAGGTATATAGAGATACATTACATTGTTTTAGAGATACAAAGTATCACTTCTTAGTCATAGCACTATATATATTTTTTTTTTCTTTAAGTGTAATAAAATCTAAAATCTGTCACACCACACATATCATGTATTACTACACATTATTTTTCACTTTTTTTGTATGTTAGCCTTTAAATTTTAGGTCTATAAATAATTCTATTGTCAGAGGGAATAATTTCATTAGTTCAAAAAATGTCTTCATTAGTTATATGTATTGGATTCAGCTTCCAAGGCTTCTCCGTACTGTGAAGAAGTTGGTAACTCCACCGTTCTCATCTAGATCCCAAAATGATTTAGATATTTGAGTGTGCCTTCTTTACAGTGTGCAGAAGCTTTCTGAGATGATCACTATACTCTCTCATAACTCATGAGGACTATTTTTCAATTTACCAAATTATTAGATTAATTCAATATAAAATATTTGAATTATCGAATTGAATCAATAATTTTTACTTTTACTTAATACTATATGAAATATATAGTAAGGATAAGTATTGTGATTATGAATTTCTTTTTTTTTAGAATGATGTTCGTGAATTGAAATTTAACACGACCGGTCGCTGCTTGGAACCTCTCGTCCAAACAGATGTATCATCTTATTATTATCCAGGTATTGATGGATGTGGGATACAGTGTGACAATCCCATGTTTCCTCCGACACAGCGGGATCAGATCCACAAAATGGTGGGATGGGTCGCATCCATTTGTTCGTTATTAAATATTTTTGCAGTAGTAAGTAATTTGTAATCAAAATAAAATAATCTTTTCTGTCAAAATTTAAAAAAAAAAAATCTTTTTAATCCAATATTATTTCAGTTCACTTTTATTATTGACTGGCGCCATTCGAATAAGTACCCTGCTCTTGTCATATTCTATATCAATCTCTGCTTTTTTGTTGTCTGCATGGGATGGCTTGTTCAGTTCCTTCCTGGAGGCAGAGAGGATGTCGTGTGTAGGAAGGATGGGACCTTGAGAACTGGAGAGCCTAGGTATTAAATTTATTTATGGTCGAAAAAAAAAAAAAATGCTGATAGATTTAATATAAAAACTATTGATGTATTATTTTTTTTTTTAATATTATAATATTAGAACATTTACATTTCATTGAACGGATCCTCTTTTTGTTTTCAGCGCTGGAGAAAATTTGTCTTGCGTAGTTGTCTTTGTTATGGTGTATTACTTTCTGATGGCGGCAACTGCGTGGTTTGTAATTCTTACTTATGCTTGGCACATCAGCTTGCAAGCGCTAGGTAGACATAGACTAGGTGTTTACTCTATACTATTTTATATTTAGATATTAATCATTTATTTTTTAAATTGTATGTAGCATGACTTATTTAATAAGGACAAACGAATCCCCTCTCACAAAACTACAAAAAATATTATAAAGATATTATGGGAAGATTCCGTAACAAAGCTGTAAGTCTCTCAAATAGCTGTAAATAACTAACCAGTCATTTAATTCATGATGTTATAGTTTCATTAAATAGTATGGCTTATTGAAAATGATTCTTTCTCTTAAAATTATAATGAAGAGAAGAATAGTTGGGGTGGTCAGTCAAAAAAGGAGGCAAAAATAAATGATAATATTTATTTTTACATATGCCGACGTTTCGACCTGAAGTTCAGGCCTTCATCAGGGCTAAGAAAATAACCAGATAACAAGGTACATAAGTAGTGATGGTAAAAAAATAAATAAAAAATTTTATAAAAAATAAATAAATATAAAGTAAAATGAAATTGTTAGAATAATGACAATAGTAAGAACTAAGAGATAAATAATAATTCTTACTATAGTTCTTACTATTGTCATTATTCTAAGAATTTCATTTTACTTTATATTTATTTATTTTTTTTATAATTTTTTATTTATTTATTTTTTACCATCACTACTTATGTTTCTCATACCTTGTTATTTGGTTATTTTCTTAGCCCTGATGAAGGCCTGAACTTCAGGTCGAAACGTCGGCATATGTAAAAATAAATATTATCCTTCCTTTCATTCCTTTCCTCTGTTTTTAACTCTTAATTATATTATACATTTTTTTTTTTTATGTTTTACATTTTATTCTAAGATTCCCATTATAACACTTATGTCACCCTTTTTGATTACGCCTACTTCATCATTCCACACTTTGTAACGGTTATTATTATTTATCTCTTAGTTCTTAGTCATTATTCTAACAATTTCATTTTACTTTATATTTATTTATTTTTTTTACCATCACTACTTATGTTTCTCATACCTTGTTATCTGGTTATTTTCTTAGCCCTGATGAAGGCCTGAACTTCAGGTCGAAACGTCGGCATATGTAAAAATAAATATTATCATTTATTTTTGCCTTCTTTTTTGACTGACCACCCCAACTATTCTTCTCTTCATTATCCACGACAGTCAACCATTTACCAATTAATAAATATTATCATTTATTTTTGCCTTCCTTTTTGACTGACCACCCCAACTATTCTTCTCTTCATTATCCACGACAGTCAACCATTTACCAATTATAAAATTATAATGGTTACATTAATTCCAATTATTGATTTAATTCTTCTAATTGAGGAAACAATATGTTTTCCAGTATATCTATTGGAATAGTCTTTGAGATTTATCTCTTTATCTTTAAAAATGAAATTTTAATTTTCAAATTAACCCTTCAATGAAAGCGGACTTTTATGTGAGTCATTCTCTTTGGAATAAAACAAAACACATAAAATTAATGATATATTTTGGTTTATTACTTTTAATGATGAACCATTTATGTTTCTCATACCTTGTTATTTGGCTATTTTCTTAGCCCTGATGAAGGCCTGAACTTCAGGTCGAAACGTCGGCATATGTAAAAATAAATATTATCCTTCCTTTCATTCCTTTTCTCTGTTCCTTTTCTTCATGTTTCTCTGTTTATCGTTTAAAATTGTTTAACCACCACTCAAAATTTGAGGTTTTACACGTTTCAGGATACTTAAAATACAAAAATCGAATAAAAATTTGTCCGTCTGCCATCCATGCATTTTTTTCCAATAATATTGGACTGATTTTTTTCAAATTTGGAGTTAAAGTCAGAGGTCACTCGAGGATGATCCTCCTATATTGACATTACTATTACCCCTTTCCTTTGAAGGTGGCAGCCGAAAAATCTGTGTTGCTGTAAATCATAGCGCCTAAAGGAATGTACCAATTTCAATGAAACTTAGCTAAAGTGTTCTTCTCGATGCCCTTAAATTTATCTGTATAACGTAGTTCAACGAAAAGAAGCTGGAAAAAAAGTTATGAGAGGTGGTAAAATTATATTTCCAATTAACTCAACAAGTATACACGTTTTTATTAATATGGTATATGGTTATATAAAAATTTACGAACTTTACTAAAAGAACAAAATAAAAAATCGTTGAAATCGAACATTTTGGAGCAGAGATATGGTGTCTAGATATTTTTGATATGTTCTATTGCAAAGGTGTTTTGAAAGTGTTACTGAAGCAACACTATTTTTTTTAGCAAATTACTAAAAATGAAAAATAAAATGTTTAGGCCAATAATAGGTATCACCTTTTATTTATTTTTATTTATGTTACCAGGAAGGTAATGTTACTTTAGATATATATAATTTTTTTGGAAATAATAAACCGTTGTGTAATAATTTGCAATATTTTGTAAAATCATTCTCTCCAAATCATCCAAAACTCCACAACTATAATTTCTTATAATTCCATGCCTATAAAGACCTGACAGTTTCTAGTATTTCCTATTTTGAGTTTAGTTGATAGCAAGAATTTAGTAGACTGGTTTATTTGATATGAGATGAAATATATCAATCAATATACATGTTTTAAATAATATTCTAGGATTAAAATTATACTTTATTTAATTCCAATATTCATGTTTTGTTTTTTTCAGGAAAAATCCAGGAGTGCATGGAAAAAAAAGGTGCTTATTTCCACCTGATAGCGTGGTCTGCTCCACTTGTCCTTACGATAACTACAATGGCGTTGGGTGAAATTGACGGTGACTCTATAACAGGGATCTGTTTTGTCGGATATACTAACAGGTTCTATCGAGTGGTCTTTCTTCTTGGTCCAGTATTTACAGCATTACTCATTGGAGCATATTTTATGTCGAAAGGTATCAATTATTTTTTTAATAAATTAATTAATTAATTTTATCAATTTTTTCTTTTAATCTTTTACCGATGATGGGTGGGAAGGTAGGAGTGGCCTTGAGCTGGAATACTCGGTGCCCCTGTAATGGTCATCATGATCGCTACTCACCACTTAGTCCTTTTTATTTAGGGCATCGTTCCAAACTTTTATTCAATTGAAATGTAATTTTATAACATGCTCTTCTATACAATTTTTTATTTATGAAATATGAACTTTTAAACCTTAATTTTTTATATAATTGACTGAGTCAAAAGCTAAAAACAAAAATGTTTTATGCTTGTTTTTATCTTCTCTTCTAACAGTTACAAACTGGAGGGAAAGGCTTAGGACAGGGACATCTGGAGAGCTGTTGTTCAGGAACCCAGAAAGCCCCGCCCTGGGCTGTAGAGCTATTAAAGAAGAATTATCTTCACTTTAAAAAAAAAAATACGGAAGTAAATGATTATATTAACCCGACCCGCTCTCGACTCATACATTCAATAAAGGGTTAATTGATACACAAGGTGTATTAAAAATGAAATGAGAGTTGTAATTTTTTGAAAAATATTTTATTTATTCATCTACAACAATGTACCTTCGGTACTCTCAAATTTGACAACATTAGATATAATAAAATTATGCCAGTGCTTCTTGAAATTCCTGACATACTTTTGGAACTTAATATTTGGAATTGCATTTAGCTTTGCATCTGTGCTTGAAAAATTAAGTTCTTTTTATTTTAGGAAGATGGAAAAAGTATAACATTCTCAAACAACAATGAAATTATTATTATGGTGCAAAAACCATGAATTGTTTTGCCACAAATTCAGCCATTTTGTTTAGATTGTTTCCTGCAAACGGCATAAATGTTGTAGGTAATATTCCTTACCGATCTTATGATCTTTTGGCAAGAACTCTGCCATTATAATCGCAGTGACCATATTGGAAAGGCTTGTACCCCTAAACTATTCTTTTAACCCTTTAACTGCTAAGGACGGCTATAGTTGCCGCAACTGAACTTGCCCCTGTTGCTAATGATGGCTATAGTCGGTGTAACCCACTCCTGCCATCAGTGTTAACGTCGGCTATAGACACTACTGCTTTTCTTTCCATTTGCTAATGTTGAGTATAGCGTATAGTATAGCCATACTATATCGTTTTGTAGTGAAATAAAGCTTCTAACTAGAGCCTACAGATGGCGTGGGGATTTATTTTGGATCTTTTCTTGTGGAATTCATGAATTGTGATGGATGACTATCAGCTACGTCCTTTCTATGGCTCTATTTTCATTCTGGTTTTTGTTCAACTGCTCTGAGTTTATTAAAATGTTATTTTAGTTAGAAATTAGATCGAATAGGGTTAGTTACGTGGCCATATATAATTAATCATTTTAATTAGAAGTTAATGGGTTTTTATTTTGTTTATGCTTCATTATTTTTTTTTAAATGGAGAAACAGTGGTTGACTGCTGCGGAAGCTGTTGAATTCATTAGTACTGGTGAAAGAAATATAATATAAAAAATATATATATATTCAGCGCTAAACCAAGGTAAAATGTCATAATTGTAATGTTTCTCTTTCTATTGACATATGCTTCGAAGAATACCATACAACATTAAAATATTAAATAAATATTTAAACGCATAAAAAAAAGTTTTAACTCCGCCATTGTCAGTCAACAGCCTGAATCAAAAAAGGAGAAGAATATAATAAAATAAAATCAAAAGATAATAGTAAGAGCTTGTAATGAAGGGAGGAAAGCAGGTAAAAAGTATGTAGCATGGGATGGTAGGTGGGTAACTGTCTTACTCAGCATTGTGGTAGACATAAAGCTCGTCACTCACAGGAGTGATAAGGTTTATTATTGTGGAGTCACCAAAAGCAACATTTCTAAAACTTTGTTACATTTTATTCTTTTTTCTAGCAAAATTTAATACAAATACTCTTATTTAGTGCAAAATCTGTTCTTTAATGAAAACTTTATTTATTTATTGGAAACTCTATTATTTTTTCCATCAAATTAAAATTTGACAGTCTCAAGTAAACACACGTAAAGTTCTTTACAACTGACAAGTCACCCAATCTGGCCACCAGTTTTTAGATGACATGTTTACCAACATAACTATGAAAAATTGTTCTAATTTAACTAATAAAATTCACAAAATATAAAATGTTCCATTACTTTTTACATATCATCTATGCCTTAATTTTTTTTCTTAGAGGCTGATCTCTTTTGGTAGTTCATAATATGGGTATACTCCTTTCTCTGCAGCTATTATTATTATTTATTGTTTTAAAAAATCTACTTTGTTTCAGGTTTGATGACTCTCATTCGCCTGAAAGTTGATTCGGAAGAAATAATATCAGAAAGAGCGAGCGCTAAAATCAGAGAAACCATCTTGAGAATGGGCATTTTTTCTGGACTTCTTTTAACGTTCGGATTCATCACTTTCATATGCCACTATTACGAAGGCAGGAATTCAGATTTATGGGATCAGAGCTTTAAAGCCTATATTTTGTAAGTATCAATAAATTTGATAACCTTTTATATCTCTTTTAAAAAGTAAAAAATACTTTAATTTATTGATAAAATTTACCACTCTGTTGTAAAATATGTCCATCTCTGTTGAATTTGTATTTATAGCCTTTTTAGTTACAAAAATTATAACTATTCATACAATTGTTATTTTGATTGTCGTTTAAGTCAGAATTTTTTTGTTTCAATAATTTTTTTCAGTCAGTAATTTTTTTAATTCTGTGATTGAAATAACAAATAAAATATATTAAATTTTACAGCTTTGATGTATATAAATTTTTAAAAAATAGCAAAGATTTCTTTTTTTTTTTTTTTTTTTTTTTTTATTTGTCTTATGCCTTGATCGTCTTGAACTCATTTGGCCATACAACGTTTAGCAGCCCAGTAAATTTCACCTTTTGTCCTGGCTTTGTTTGTAATGTCCTGTAGTTCGGGACCAATTATTAAATGCAGAGCAGTCATGAATCCTTGTTGACACAGTGGACATGTTGCTGATTCGACAACTCCAATACGGTATAGAAGATGGCATTGGAGACAGTCATGTCCGGTTTTCATCCTGAACTGTGCAACGGCCTCACTTCTAGGGAGATCCACTGGCACTCTTCCATTCTCTTCTAGTAATGAAGAACATTGCTTCTCCTTTAACTCCAACTGCCGTTTCTGTTCCAGTTCTGTAGTGATTACTGTTTTGATTAGCTTCTTTGCCCCTAGAAAGGGATTAACATATCTGGCTGATCTTTTCCAGAACCTTCTTTTGCTAATCGGTCAGCATTTTCATTACCTGTCAAACCACAGTGTCCTGGTATCCACTGTAGAACGACATCTGTGCCTTCTAAAATCAGCTCCTCAATTAATTCTTGGCACATACTAATTTGATTTGTGAAACAGCAGGAAGGGTCTGAAATGGCTATTATTACAACTTGCGAGTCAATTAGGACCACAACATTTTGCGGTTTAGACTTTTTTTATCAGTTATAACGCTAGAAAAAATGCTTTTATTTCACTGTCAAAGTTACTTGCTAGCTTTCCCACAGGCTCTGACATTTGGAAAAGTTCTGCATAAACATCAGCTCCCCCATTCTTTCTTGCTCTATTCGCTAAACCGTTTGTGTACACGTGTAACCATGGGGGGCTGAGGTACCTCTCCCTTATGGTTCCAAGTGCTAAATGTCTTAGTTCTATCTTAGAGCAACTTTGCTTGTTGATTTGTTGCAGGAGCAAACATTTCTAGTACGCATAAATTTTGTGTGATGTGTGTTGCAGATTAGGAATTTAAAAAAAAAAAAGTCAAGAACTTCAATTACCAAAATTTGTTAACACCCATGTTATAAAGCAAAGTATTTTAAAGCCAATTGTATCCTTTTTCATTTCAAATTTAACCTTAGGAGGGTTGCATTTGATTTGGAAATGAAGATAGATTATATTTGAAATTTAAAAAAGTAACATTTGAAATGGAAAAGGTTGCAATTGGCTTGGAAATGCCATATATTACCATTTATATTATTCACATGGCTCAAGTAGTATAGATTTAAAATAGATATTAAAGAATATTGTCACTACAATCTCATGTAAAGAGGGATTATTTTTAAAAATTATTTTATTTATTTATAAAGCAAGGAGATATTCCAGGGTGGCAGTCATAAAAAAGCTTAAATAGTGAAAAAAACTATTTTATTTAAATCCATCGTTTCGACCCGACTTTGCAGGTCTGCTTCAGGGAGAGGGGGGTGTATGTAGTATAGAGTTTCAGTTAAAAACTCTGTTTCAGTTGGAGTTTTTAACCAAAACTCCATACTGCATATACCCCCCTGAAGAAGACCTGCATAGTTGGGTTGAAACGTCTTTTTATGACTGCCACCCCGGAACATCTCTTTACTGAATAATATACTATGTTCAACCATCAAGTATTCAATTTATTTATTTGTTTTAAATTTAATAATAATTACTTTGCAGGTGTAAATTGGGCGTTGGAGAAAGTGAATGCAGAATGGAATCTCGCCCTAGCCTGGCCATGTTGCAGATTCACATCCTGGCCCTGTTCCTATCGGGGGGCCTCATGTCCACTTGGGTCTGGACGCAGACTACCTTCGAGTCCTGGCAGAGGTTCATTCGGAGGTACTTCTGATTCTTTATTTAAGAGTAGGTGTTCATAAGTGTTTCTTTAACACTAGTATTAGGAATCTTCATATTGCACTTTAATGATTTTAGAAGTTATGTAATGATTTATGTTTTTAGTGCTATCTTAGTAAATATCACTTTTAAAATGATTTGAGTTTTAATTCATTAAATCATTTTAAAAAAGTACGTTTTCATAATGTTGAGAAAACACAATGTCATGTTTTGGCATCATTAAATGTTACCAAAATTATAACTATGTGCGTGTGTATGTATATTGCTTTAAAAGTTTAAGTATAACTTCTAAAATAAAGAACATTTATTTTACTTAATTAGGAAAGGTTAAAAAAAATTAATTAATTGATGTGACACACAAACAAAAGTATTCGTACATCCCATTTTTGGGGCAAAATGGTTCACTATAATTTTTTTAACGAGAAACAACGGCAGATATTAATTACAAACTTCATTTTGCATTAATTTTATGTAATGCCAAAACTTAAAATTTGATACAAATTTTATAAAATTAATATTTCAATAACTAGAAAAACGAAATTGAAGAAGAGATTAAGGTTAGACTGAAGGCGGGGAATGCTTGTTATTTTTCTGTGACAAAACTACTTAGTTCGCGCCTCTTGTCCCGAAACTTAAAAATTGGAATCTATAAAACAATTATCTTGCCTACAGTTCTTTATGGATGCGAAACTTGGCCGCTTACATTAAGGGATGAGCAGCGTCTTAAGGTTTTTGAAAATAAAGTATTGCGTAGAGTATTCGGACCGAAGAAGGATGAGTTAACCTGAGAGTTCAGACGGTTACACAACGCCGAATTGCGTGAGCTGTATCCAGGTAATATAATTGAAGTAATTTCATCGCGGCGAATCAAATGGGCTTGTAAAGTAGTTGGGCTTAGTAACGAGAGAATTCCTAAAAGGTTGATATTTGCTGTGCCGAATGGTAAGCGTCCGAGGGGTAGACCGAAGCGAAGGTGGGAAGATTGCATTAAAGCCGATCTGAAGGGACTGGGTTTGGACGGCGAACGGTGGAGGGAGGTGTGTAACAAGCGATTGGTGGTGTCGGCATCGAACCTTCGGGTTCGCTAAGCCTTATTATTATTATAATATTTCAATAATTTGTACACAAAAAAGTATTCGCACACTAGAGCAAATGTTAATGGTACGATAATTTATGTTATTAAAACAATGTTTTAATGTTCTATTTATAACCCATTACTCCAGAAGATTAAAGGATAAAAAACTGCAAGAGAAATTACTTGTTTAGTTCAGTGCTAAAAAATATTTCTTTGGCAATGGCTCATAGGTTCAAATAATTGAGTTCTCATTTTAAAGATGCCATTGTAAAACATTTTCAACAGGGTTTAAGCTTGTGGTATATTGGAAAAAAATTCAGATTATCTCATACGACAGTGAAATACATTATAAAAAAATTTAAATCTGAATCAGTGAACAATCAATCCCGCCTAGCAAGAAAACTCTTGTTGACAGTGCGAAAATCTCATGAAATTAAATTAAGTGCTCGAGAGGTTTCGGTTCACATCGCATCAGATTATGGGAAATCTATAATACTCAAAAACATGAGGAATCAGCTACATAAAGCTGACTATAGAGGTAGAATTGTAAGTAAAAAACCATTTATAACGAAATGAACAGAAAAAAAAAAAGATTGGAGTTTGCCTGAGAACATGTTAATTAGAGCATAATATATTAGAATCTGGCAGGAAAACATATGTTTGCTGGAAAAAAGGAAAGGCATTTGAACCCCAAAATCTACAACCCACAGTGAAGTACGGAGCAGGCAGTGCCATGGTTTGGGGCTGTATGAGTGGCAAAGGAGTTGGTGAACTAGCCTTTATTGACTGTATTCTGAATACTGACAAATATGTGAATGTGTTGTGATTCGATTTAAAGAAAAGTATGTGAAAGTTAGGAATAGAGAATGCATATATGTTTCAGCAGGACAACAATTCCAAGCACGCGGCTATAAAACCAAACAATGGTTGCTGTATTATGTTCGAAAAACTTTCAAAACACCACCACAATCATAGGATCTTAATTCAATTGAAAATTTATGGACGCTACTAGAATTACAAATCCAAAAATATCCTTGTTCCTCTCGGAATGACTTAACAAATGATCTTAAAAAGATGTTTAAAAAAAAATTGTACTAAAGAACAAGAGGATCTCGGAATCGATGCCAAAGAGACTCAATACTGTGATAGAGCAGAAAGGGTACCCTACAAAATATTAAAATTACTTGAGATTGATATTTATTGTATTTTCTTTGGGTTAGTTAAATGTACGAATACTTTTTTTTGTGCCACATCTTTAAAAATTTTGATATTTTTCATACAATATAAGTTATAAGACTTTTACTTTTTTGTACAATTAATGAAAAATGAAGTTTCTAATTGTTATCTATAGTTACTTTATGTTAAAAACATAAATACAAATTTTTTTGGCTAAAACATATGGTGTACAAATAATTTTTTTAGCCACTGTATATAATTCCTGGTGCTTTCCGAAAACGATAGTTTTAATCTTTATTTTTAAATTAAAATATCGAAGGGACGATATCGATAGTCGATAATATCGAAGTAGATAATATTGATAGTAAAATATTATAAGGATAAATATCGATATTTTGATAATATTGCCTATCGATGGCCATCCCTAACCCGGGTACATATCTTGTTTAACAAGACATAAAGAGGAAAAACAAGAATCCATTTAGAAGGAGATCAAAACTTTATTGTGATGGCTAATAAGCCTCCATGATTGATGCCTCCTAGATTGTTATCATTAGAATAAAGGTGATCTTATGAATCTCAGAAATGGTTTTAATTTTAAGGATTTTAAATGTAGTACTCTGCTTGTTCTGTAAGAATTGTCTGTACTCGATCTAATTTACCAATTTCAGAGTTTTTAAACCTCTTACTGTTTCAATTGATTTCATTAAAATTGTTAGAATTTGAAGATTAAAATTGAGATTTCTCACTTCTCAATGAAATTCTCTTTCTTTTGAAATCTCCTTTGTGAAAATATTCATCTTTTCTGAGATCTGGAAAATGGATCTCATACATACTACTGAATTATATGTGAGAGTAGATATTTTTATATTGTACAAAGGGATTACATTACTCGTAACTCTTACTAAAAAGATACATTATACCGGAAAAACCTATATAATTATATTTGATAATTTTATCATATCATTATTTTGCTAAGAATTTTTTTCAATATTTTATAACAGAACATTTGTTTTTTTGTCTTATTTTAAGGCGATTCAGTAAGGAAACAGATAACAGGAATGGAAACCACACAAAATTGAGAAAACATAAAGTGATAGCGCAGGCTTATGCGAAACGGAAGGGATTTCCCAAATCAGGAAGGCTTTCAATAAGCCTCGAAAGCACTCATCAAGATCCTGTCGGTTAGTTTATTTTTTATTCCTATTGTTCTGCTTGTATGTTTGATTATTATTTCTGTTTTCAATATCTTCTTAGGTCGTAACCATTAATGATGACAGTGCGAACCTATAATATTGAGCAGGATTCTCTCATCCTTATTTTACTTAAGGGCACATGTGTAAGACAAAAGTTTAATGGCTGTCTATAATTTTTTCCCCTATATTTTCCATTGTTAATAAAAATAAAAAATAAATTAAATTTTAGTTTGATCCTAAGTGGTCAATTGGCAAATAAAATAATAATAATAATGCTTTATTTATTCTGGGATGAGTCCCTTTAGAATAATATAAAAAGACAATAATATGGGCTAAGGAGCCTTAGAGATACATAAACAAAAATATACAGTAATTAAATAGTCAAAATTAAAAAAAATAATAGAAAAAATTATAAGTTGTTTACTAATTTAGATCAGTTAAAAATAAAAAACAAAAAATTGAAAATAAACATGAAATAAAAATAATGAAGAACGCTCTAATAATTTATATACATATTTACAGTAGTAACTATTTACAATTTTACTTTTCTATACTATTACGATAGTAGGAAGGAATAATTGGGTAGGTAAATAAGGGATAAAAGGTTTTAACTAGGTTTCGGATATTGCTATTATGTGGTAAAAATTATCAAGGAAATGTTCCTGCTGTATCATACGCTGTATCATTGCTAAAACTGATCCGATGTTTTTTTTTTTTTTTTTTTTTTTTGTTTTGTAGGGAATTTAGTTACTTTTCAAAAGATTCTATATAAATTTTACCATGGAATGTATACTTTTTGAGTTAGGCCTTAAACATTTTTCTTTTCTTTATAACTTATTTTCTCAAAAATTCACCACATGTAGGAAAATTTAAATCACTTAAAGTAGAAGATTATAAGAACATTTTATCAAAATCATTAGAACCATTTATGTGCTACAGCCTATGGAAAAATATTGCCAAATTATCTGACATGCATGTGTAGTCGAAACACTACAAAAAAAATAAATAAAAAAGCAAAAAAATTAGTCTCCTCGTTTCTGAAATATTCAAATATTTATTTTTACCTTCATTCATCTATTTCTTTATTATTAAGTAAAAAAAATTAAATTATTGTTTTTAATAAATTGAAATAAGAATTATTTGAAGCACGATTAATAGATAATGATTATTTAAATATAAATTTCATTATAGTGTGCATGTTTTATTATTTTCGATATATTCTACTCTAATCTGTTTTGAATATAAAAAAGCTCAACCTTTTCTTGGTTTCTTCCTTTACAAGATGTTATAATTTTTTCTTTCTAGTTTATATTTTTTTTAGTAAATGGTTATATTCATTACAATTACATTATATTACAATTAAATAATTACAATTTTCATTATATTTTTTCATGCTGCAGGATGACCATTGTTAGTAACTAAGTGGTAAAATTTATTTCTCATAAATTTTAATTTTTTTTTATAAATATATGTTATATCATCATGGGTAATAAATATTCAGGACCCAGTCATTATAAATTTTTTTTATTTATGCCAACGTTTCAACCCAAACATGTGGGTCATCATCAGGCCTAAACATTTTAAAATACAATCAGACATAGTATTATACGACCGATAATGGTAAATAATAAACTTAAGTGATTGATGGTGCATGAATCTTAACAATTATTACGATACACAATATTAAAAATGAAATATGTAAGAAGTTATACAAACTAAAATAAGGTATATTATCCATTTATAAAAATTTGTAATATTTTCTCTTACTAACCGAGGTTTGAGCACTGAGGGTGTTCAAGTACTGACACATTTGATAGGTAAGTGAAAGGTCATGAGGGGAGAATTTCTCAGTTGTCGTTTTTGAGATAGCAAAAGGTAGGTAAACATAATCAGAGGGGTAGAGGGAGGTAACATTTCTATTCAAGATGTGTATAAGATTTGTGTTGTTTCTTATGGTTACATAATTGTGACTATTGGCTAGAAATGAAATGAACATAAGCAACAGGTGCCAATCAATATAAATATAACATAGTTTGATTGAAGGTATACAATGGTTAGCCAAATAATATTTATAATAAAGACAATATAATATATAGTATTTTGATGACCCTTATGTTTGGGTTGAAACATTAGCACAAATAAAAAAATATTATAATGACTGCGTCCTGAATATTTATCACCCATGATATTAAGAACAGTCGACTAGCTTCCTTCAATAGTATATTATATTATATTTCTGATTTATGAAATGATAGCTGTATCATTAACCTTTTACATGCCATTGTTCCAGAAGTGAAACATATATTAAACAATTTTTTTCCATCAAAACAAAGGTTGAAATATTTTATTTTTATTTTATCAAGATAGGTTTTATCACATTTAGTTTGATAAATAAAAAGTTAAAGTTTCTGATATTTTAGTGCCAAGAGGTGTATTGATTTTTTTTTTTTTTGTTGTAATACTACAGCAATGAAATTTAATTTGAATATTGATTTAATCCATTGTGATCGATAATAATGAATTGCAAATAAGGCATTGTAAATTAAAAAAAATTCTAAGAATCAGTTTTACTAATTTTAATATTATGGTTCCACTTATGGAACAATGGCAGGTTCATGCTATAGAAATGTTTCTTCTATCCATTGTTTCCTATCTTGTTTTCTTAGTACAAAACTGCACAAGGAAATTCATAAAACTACTAATTGCTATTCTAAGATTTTTTATTTTTTGTATAATTCCTTACCGATAGAGAAAAAGTGCATAATTTCTTTTTAGTTTCTTAGAACACATATTATTGGAAATACTATGCCAAACATTGTTTTTATTATTTTAAGCCAGACTAATACCCATAAATTTGTAACACTGTTATTATTCTTCATCATCATCATCATATGTGGCACGACATCCCGTTACCGAGACTGGGCCTCCTCCAAGAGCCTCCGCCAGTTGGCTCTGTCTTCTGCTGCAGCTCTCCAGTTCCGTACACCAAGCAGGGTTCTCGCATCATAGGCCACGTTGTCCAACCATCTCGTCCTCGGCCTTCCTACGCGTCTTACGAGGTGCAGCTCCTCCATCATTATTTTCTTTGGTATTTCAACGGTGCTCATTCTGGCCACATGCCCTGCCCACCTTAGTCTGGCCAGTTTAATATACGTGACTACGTCGATGTCTGTATAGAGAGACTGAGCTCCATATTTTTTCTTTTTCTCCAGATATCACCCTCCTTTACTGGACCATAAATCCTTCTGAGGACTCCTCGCTCAAACACACTCAGCTTCATCTCATCGTTTTTAGTCATCGTCCAAGCCTCTGAGCCATATGTCAAAACAGGCCGTACAATGGTCTTGTATATGATCAGCTTGGTCTTCTTTGAGAGGTACCTACTTCTTAAGTGTCGGCCAAGTCCAAAGACACATCTATTGGCAGCCGTGATCCTTCTTTGTATTTCTTGAGCCATGTCATTTTTGCTATTAATTTCAGACCCAAGGTATACAAAACTTTTCACTCTCTCAAACTTAAAAGAACCTACCTCAAATGGAGAGTTCAGATCCACCTCACCACCAACTCTCAAATACTTAGTTTTCCTCTCGTTGACTTCTAGACCAAGTGGTCTTGCAGCTGCTTCAAGGCCTATAAACGCTTCTCTGAGAGCCCGTTCAGACCTACCTATTATGTCAATATCATCAGCAAAACCAAGAAGCTGTGTCAGGCGATTGAAGATTATATCGTTGGTCTGAATACCGGAGTCTCTTACAGCTTTCTCCTCTGCCTTTATTATTCTTAGGGGACTGTAATCTCAGAATAAAATTATTTTTTAATTTAAAACATCCTTTGATGTTAGTTTTCTCGATCATTACTGTGTTCTTGTGGTAACTGCATCGCTTTTCTTACTCACATTTTATAATAATTAGGTAATACGAGCTTTACCGCAAAAACGTAGGTCCGAAGACTTCTTTCTCTCCTAGTAGGCATAAGGCAGATAGACATTATATCATTTTGGCTTCCCAAGGAAGGTTTCTTCATTGTGGCATCAATACAAAGAATGCCAGAAACGCTTTCTTATTGATTGTTTTCCCCAATATCATGGACTGTAAATCGTATATTAGCATAACTACATTTTTTTTTGTTCTGTGTTCTTATGTACGCATTTTCTATTATTTTACAAACAATTACAATGTTTTAATATAATATAATAATAATTTTTTATCAATATTATTAAAAACAACACTATTCTTGTATTGAATATTCTTATAAAACTATTAACAAAAAAGTTCTTTGTAGAACATGAAACCTGCCATTGTTCCACTTCTGGAACAAGTTAGAAAAGCACAAAGGAATTATTTATTTATTTTTTAGAAAATATCTAAACTGAATCATATTGAGACCAGTATAACAGAAAAATAATAAAATTTTTACTGGAATTAGGGGGAGGCGTGTAAAAAAGTTAATATTATGGCTAAGAAGTGATGAATGCATGCCGATTTATTGTTTTGATGTCATTGGTATAATGAAGAATCTGAACGATAAATGGAATATCATGAAACTAGTAGCTGATGAGTAAATAACTTTTTTTTTTTTTAGAACTTTTATTATCATCAACAGAGAACAGTTGTAAAACCTGGTAAACATTGTTGTGCTTTGATATGAAAAGTACTAAATAGTTTTCAAAAGTTAACGTTAGTTTTAAAATATATTTTTGTCCCTAGATTTTATAGTTTATAGATAAAAAATTTTGCTTGAAAACAGTCGGTCATCAGAAATTTATATATTTTTTTTAAGGTTAAGGCAAATAAACATCCATTTTTCTTTAGTCTCTTTTAATCACATCTATTACATGTGACATTTCTGGACAATTTACTCATCCTCAGAGAATCTGTTATTACTTTTTTACTTGACTTTTTAATATGGCACCAATTGTCAAAAATTACAATAATATTCATATCTATTTAAATATAATAGTTGTTGGTGTTACACAACCCAAGATGTTGGTTGGTGTGATGATGGACAGAAAATTAATGTGTAACACCAAAAAGTATTATATTTAAATAGATATGACAATTATTGCAATTTTTGACAATTCATGCCACATTATAAAGTCAAGTAAAAAAGTAATAAAGGATTTTCTGAGGGTGGAAAAATTGTCCCGAAACGTCAGATGTAATAGATGTAATTAAAAGAGACTAAAAAAGAATGGAAGTTTATTTGCCTTAACCTTAAAAAAACAATATATATATATATATATATATATATATATATATATGAGAAGGAATTAGTTGAGGGTGCGGTCAAAAAAATAAAAAAATTAAAATATATAAATAATTTTAATTTTTGCCCAGCAAATAGGCAAAAATTAAAATTATTTATATATTTTAACTTTTTTATTTTTTTGACCGCACCCTCGACTAATTCCTTCTCATATCATATCAACGGTCAACCATCTCTACATCATTATATATATATATATATATATATATATATAAAATATATATATATATATATATATATATATATATATATATATATATATATATATATATATACAAACCGAAGCTTTATAGAAAAATAAAAATAAGAAGATAACAGAAATTTTTAGTGTGATAATTCCAGTTTGTCATTAGTATTTAGCAAAATGTTTTAACATTTATTTAAACCCTACCATGGGTTTTAAAACCTGATAGGAAAAAAATAACTTGCTGGATATCCATGTACTGTTAATTAGTTGTTTTTCTGATATGAAGTATCACGTTTTAGTGACAGCATCTTATTTTATTAAGTTATCAAATTAACTTGAGGAAATAATCTTTATTCTTTGGAGAAAAATGTATTAGTATATCCGATTTTGTAATAAGAAGTTAAGTTTTACAATTTTATTTTTGTATGAGTATTTATAATGTAATAAACAATTCTATTCGACAGGCTTGAAGTTTGAGTTGAACAGCGAAGGCTCTGGGTCGGTGAGGTCGAGCTGGGCGGCCGCCCTCCCCAAGCTGGTGCAGAGGAGGGGCGCACTGGTCGCTGCGACTAACTCGAATTCCTCGCATCGCAGGAATTCTATGGATTCTGAAATCAGTTACAGTGTCAGGAGGTGTGTATACATTTTATTTTAAGTATTTATTTTAATTGGGGAGCGGGGTAGCTCAGTGGGTGTGCACTGACTTCCAGAGCTCAAGGTCCTAGGTTCGAATCCGGCTAATGACTAGTAATTATTCATTAGCCGTGGATCCACCTGGGGAACACCCAGCCTTTATAAAGTGGGTACCCTTAATTAAAAAAATAATTAAGGGAAAAATCCTGGCGGTTAAGCGCGATATTGGCCCTTCACCTCCCTGCACAACCATTGGCCTGGCAACAGTACTTCCTCACATAGTACTGCACCCAAGACCCTTCATGGGTTGTAGTGCTACAGGTTTTTTAAATTTTATTTTAATTAGTAACATTTTTTTAACCATTATTAAGAAGATTGAACTTGAACTCTTGAATTCCTGCTATGATAGATTAGTTGATTATATTCCTTAACAATTTCTAGATTCACTTTTCTTTAATATATTTTAAATTCATTAAGTGTTCTCTTCTGGAGAGGGACGACTTAGTAACTAATGTTATTATCTCTTTATGTATAGTAGTAATATACTTAATAAGTCTGTAATATAATATCTCAGGGACTTGGGTTCGATTCCCACTGCAGCATAAAATTATATTAGGTTATCCAATAAATTCTTTCCCTTTTCTTTATTTGTTGTTCGATAATATATGATATCGAAACATACAAAAATAAATAATATCTGTAGACATATTTACAGAAAATATTTTTTAATAGCATTGTAAGAAATCTAATGATCAAATAAGTAATGAGCAATAGTAAATAGATTTTTTGAAAGGCAGGTTAACTATCAAGAAGCCTGGTAAGCTTCAAATCAATAAAGCTTTATTGAAATGAAATAAAATATAAAGATGGCCACAAACATTTTCCACGTTTTATAACTCCTTAACATCTAAAAATGCTAGAGAAGTAAGGTATATACAGGATGTTTCAGGGTTAAGTGGCCAAACTTCAAAAATGAACTAAAGACCTCAAAACAAGAAAAAAAAATGTCCTCTGAAGGTATGTCCACAAACGCTTTGTTTAGGAGATATTCACACCTCAAGATTTTCATTGTTGAATTATTATAAAATAGAAATAGAAAAAAAACTTGATTCTGGGACAAAGTCCCTTTAGAATAATAAAATAGTACAGAATTCAAAGACTACATCTGGCCTAAATAAAAAAAATAATAATAAAGCTATATAAAAACACTTAAAACTATGTACAGTAGTACAATTTATAATTATACACTTTTGAGAATAATAATAATAAAAAATACATTGATTTCTTCTATAAAATAAGCTGTGTTTCTGCTAACACAGGAAAGATGAATCTGACAATATTAAATATCCGAGTATTTAAATAATGAATAATATCTAAACACATCATTATCTTATTGTAACTGTAGGTACAGTTTTAATTGTATAAGAATAAAAAAAAAATAAAAAAACGAGCAATAGATGCATACAGTGGCATTAATAGTAGGAAGATATTGTAATATCCCTATTTACGTTATATGAAATAAATAAAACCTATTTATTTGTTCTAACTATTTTATTAATTAAATGTAAACATTAATATTCACATTAAATGTCGTTCAAAGTGATTTCCTTGAGCATTAAGACAGGCTAGGCATCTTTCTTCAACAGCAGCAGTGGCAGAACGGCACCGGATATCTGTTATTGTTCCACAAGATTCACTCATTCTTCTTCGTAAGGAATTAAGATTCGACTTGCATAAACGTTTTGTTTAATTTCACCCCAAACAAACCCCCGTGCCTGTCTTAATGCTCAAGAAAATCACTTGAACAACATCTAATATGAATGTTAATGTTTACATTTAATTAATAAAGTAGTTAGAACAAATAAATAGGTTTTATTTATTTCATATAACGTAAATAATTCATAACAACAAAAATATTTAGGTGTGAATATCTCCTAAACAAAGCGTTTCCGATCATACTTTCAGAGGAAACTTTTTTCTTGTTTTGAGGTCCTTAGTTCATTTTTGCAGTTCGGCTACTTAATACTGAAACACCCTGTATACAGCTTAGATACAAACAAATAAATACAAGCCAAGCCAAATAAGCCATCCATACGCTTGTGTTTACGGGCACTGGTCATTTTTCTACTAGCATATGGAGTCACCATAAAATTGTATGATATTTTAACTATTTTATAAACTTCTGTTTGAATTATCTATATTTAAAAGCAAAAGGAACTCATATAAATTATATCTGAACTAATACAAAAAAATAGCTATAAAAAAAAATCTTGTGCTCCCAACACACAACTTTCACTTACCCCTCTACTTTGAATAGAAATTATTTTCTGGCAATGTTGGTCTATTATAAAATTTTTGAAGTGCATTTTAAACGGAGCTAAAGCTTACAGATAATAAATCATTAAGACCATTAAAATTACAAAAAGTCTATTTATTATATCAACAGTGGGCAATACAAATCTAGTTTTATAAACCACATAACTTCAGCCTCTGAGCCTTTCAGCTGACAGAATGACTAACTCCAAGTTCAACATATTTGAGTAATGTCATTTTAGTGATATTTCTAGTTGGAAAAGTTATATCTATAAAGATAGTGAGTAAGTTGATTCCAGAGTAGATGATCGCAGTGTTGAAATATAGAACTGTGAATAAAGGTATAAAATTTGCCACTAGAAGCATCACTAAAATTAATGAAAAGAATGTTGAAATTGGGGTTAGTCATTCTGTCAACCGAAAGGCTCATATATGCCTAGAAAGGTTTGAAAGTACATCGGAATATTTAACCTATTAATGATTATGGATCGTAGGACTATTAGTTATTAAACTGTTATTTTCTATTGTAATGTTTACTAAAATGAAATTATGAGTTTCTCATTGCCTTGCCATAGAAAGGTCAAAAGTAGTAACATTGATTATAGTGGATAATGTTGGGATTTCACAACCGGAAAATTCATCAAATTATTCACTAATTTAATTTCCTAATAGATTACTTGATGATTTTTTGGAATTAACGGCCAATAGATACCTAATTATTTAAGTATAATATCATATCTAGAGTTATTAAACTACAGCAAATGTATTTAAGGTTATAAACACATCCATGAAATATTTTTATATTTCACTTCTTCTTTCACTCAAGTATAATTAAGTAGTATTTTAAGCAATGGCATTGGCATGATTCGGTGGATTTTTTTCAAACTTGGAAAAAATTTAAAAGTTTACATTTTGTAGGAAAATTTCATTTAATTTCATTGGAAACATGTAATTTATGTTAAATAATGTTAGTTTTCTGAAATTATTATTTATATTTTTTTTTTGTCACTCTCCATTACCTTCTACAACTTTATTTATTTGATATTATTTTTTCTAAAATTCTCCGTTTACCAACAATTTATTATACGTATACCTTCTGACTGTTATATCCGGAGATTCATTTTCAACCTGAATAAGCATTTATCTTTTTTTTCTCCAATTTCCAATTATTATATCTTTCAAATTTCATATTTAGCCATTTTTTATAGTTACTGTCAATAAAAGAGACTTAATGTTTAAAATAAACCATATTAAAGATACTTTAGAGGAAGACGTATATGAATATAGGGCATTTAAACCCTGTAAAGTGACATCAATGGGGATAAGACCTAAATGATATTAAAGACCACTTAATTATACAATGATACACTGAGTTTAATCAAAATCGTTAGAGCCATATTTGAGGAAATTGTAAAAATGTGTTTCACCGTTGATATAAAATGGCACTTCCGGATAACCGATTTTATGGAAAAAGTTGCTGTAACATCTGAGGCATATAAAAATCTTATATATGCAAATTCACTTTCTTACAACTTTTAGTTTTTGAGTTATACAACTAACACACACATACACAGACCATTTTGTGGGACTTGGTTATTTGGACTTAGGAGACCTCAAAACATGTATTACCGTTGAAAACTCAGATTTGGAAATTTTCACAATCGCAATACTTACCCTTACTATATATTTCATATATAGGTAAGTGAAAGTAAAAACACATATAGCAATATTTCTATAGTAAAAATTAACAAATATAAACAAAGTCCATTAATTATCAAGTAATTATTTAACAGTAAACAAAATATTTTTGATTTTGGAGTTAGATATCTAAAGCAACGAAGACATTTAACAATAGATACATAACAACAATTAATTAGAAAAACATCACAGGATTTTTGGCATCCATTCATCGCACGTTACTACGATGCCTCAGTTTCATGTCAGATATTGTGAAACTGTTTTCACCCCTCATTTCTTCAGTGCTGTTCACAAAACAGGCAATATTCTCTTTCCTGCAAAAAAAAAAAAATGTCAATTTAAAGAACTTTATAAATAAATTAAATTAAAATCATGATATTTCCCATTACAAATTACGATCACAGCAGATTTTAAAGAGATCTCACTACGACAATAACATATTGGTTTATTGAAACTTAAAATAATTAAACAAGTTAATGGTGAAAATTATGCAATATCTGTCATACAGAGTGCTTAAAAAAACTTTATTTAGTGAATCACAAAACAATTAATTATTTAAAACTCAATTAAATTCATTCTATATCTGTTAAGCTCAAAATAAATATTTTTTTTTCTTTAAATAATTCATTATCTTCATTTATTTTTTCATATATAACTAATAGCTATAGAATAAACCTCCTTAAAAAAATGATGTAAGCTTAACTTTTAATCTACTTAAATGTCCTTAATTTGTTCAGATATATCTTAACCGAATGTTATGCATTCCAAACTCTCAGGGATCGACTTCTTTCCAGAAATAGCCTCTCTGAAGAATCACTCCAAAAGGACCCCAATTCTATTAAAAACTTAATATTGTTCCTTAAGGAAACCAAAATATTACACAAAATTGTAATCACATCTACAAATTTGTACAAAATTTAATCACATCTAGTAATTGTAAATATAGGTACCTGTTAAGTTTTTTAAATTTATAGGTTCCTCTTCAAATTGTAAATATGCCTGTTAATTTTTCTTCTTTTAATCTTAATTTTTTATTATAATGGTGTTTCAATTTTCTAATATTTAAATTGTACTTTTTAACTTTTCTTCTTTTAACATTAGTTTTATTTTTTAAACCGTATTTTTAGATTATATTTCTGAAATCATTAACATTTTATTTAACTGTCTTTGTAAGCTTATCTTTTTCTAATCTTTAATATTTAATTTTAATGGTTTTTGTCAACTTTTCTTCTTGTACTTTTTATATTTAAACTTTACTCTTTAACTTCTCTTCTATTAATATTAATAGTATTTTTTTAAACATATTTTTAGCTTTTGTTCTTAAATTAATAACCTTTGTTTTAATTGTCTTAGTTAACTTATCTCTTTTTCAATGTTTAACTTTCAATTGTACTATCATATTAACCTGTAACTCTTTTTAACTTTCTAAACTCTAAATTGTATTTGTTAGCTGTAGATTTGTTATGTATGCCTATGTAGTAGTTGATCCAATGGATGTAACTATAGAGCGAAAATGACCCAGGTGGTTGAAGAGCCCAAAACATTTATAAATAAATAAATAAATACCCTTAATGTTTTTTTATAATAAAACTAATTTACAATATACATAACTAAATCAGAATTAAATTCATTATTATTTGTAATTTCTAATAGATCATTGAAAAAATATAATTGGCACCCATAAAATTACTAAGGTAAAATTATTTTATCAAATAATCTTCATCAAATCCAATGAGTGAGCCCCCATTTTGAAAATTTTCTCCTTCAGGTGGGAAAAATAGTCACATCACCCCGAAATTTCAGGAAAACAGTTATGAAGAAAAACAAACATTTTTTGACGATTGCATCACTAATGATTAATTGAAAAATGACTAAATTTTCTACAATATTAAAAAATAATCATCAAATTCTGACCACTATTAGCTGAGATACAGTTTATAGTAATTCGTGAAATAGTTTGACTCAATTTATTAGCCATGAATCAACAAAAAAACATTGGATTGTAGTTCTGAAGATGAGAGTAAATATCCTGAAACGTTAACGTGCAAACATGTAATTTGGAAATACAACAAATAAATTCAATTGTTGTTTAATTCGAAGTCATTATTTCCAAAAACAAAGAATAACGCACAACTTCCCAGTAAAAAGAAAAAAAATAATAATTTTCTTTTTCCGTGGTCAATTATAATTATGATAGGTTGAATTGCTTAATTTCCTTATTATTTTGTCATTTGTTCACTAACCAATAGTCTTTACGAATTATTTGCAAGATCCAAATAGTAATAATATATTTTAAATGGCAATAACTTATTATTTTACATTTTATTTCCACAATCTATTCAATTAATAAAAGTACATAAAACATTTAAAATACTAATTAATAAATAACTTGCCAATTATTAAACAAATTACTAAAAATGAAAATGATTATAAAATTATAGAAAGTCTTAACTAGCAATTTCAGTTAAAAACTATCAAAAAACAAAAAGAAATAATGATAAATTTAAAATCCAGTAATTTATTAAAAAATAGTTCAATTCAATGCCTAAAGATGGCAGCACCAATCAAGAAAGCTGAAAAGACGGGAATCTGGAAGAGAAATCCAGCTCGAAAAATTTTATTTTGTATTAGGAGATTAGGAGCTCAAAGGAGCTTAGCTAGTAGGTAGGGTTTAGTGCAGGTGCACTTGAAGTTCCGGCGGCTGCCTAGAGGCAGCAGCACCGTCGGCTATACCTCCTCCAACTCCTGGTAGTTGAGCTCTTGTTAGCTCCTGCCCCTCCTGCTAGTTGGCTCCTGTGAGCTCCCACTCTCCTAATACAAAATAAAATTTTTCGAGCCGGAATTCTCTTCCAGATTCCTGTCTTTTCATCTTTCTCGATAGGTGCTGCCATCTTTAGGCATTGAATTGAACTATTATTTAATAAATTACTGGATTTTTGATTTATCATTATTTCTTTTTGTTTTATTGATAGTTTTTAACTAAAATTGGTAGTTAAAACTTTGTATAATTTTATAATCGTTTTCATTTATGCCTCTTATAAGTTATTTATTAATTAATATTTTAAATGTTTTATGTACTTTTAAATTAATTTAACACATTGTGGAGATAAAATGTAAAATAAAAAGATATTGCCATTTGAAATATATTATTACTATTTGGATCTTGCGAAGAATTCGTAAAGAATATTGAATGAATGAATGAATGAAAATAATTTTATTATTGAGGGACCTAGTGCCCTTTAGAACAACTTACCAATACAGAAAATTTATTAATATTCTGGTGTGTCCATAGAATACAATAAAATTATAGATAATAAAAAGATATAAAAACGTGTATAAATATAAAATAAACAGAGAAAGTAAATTTAGTAAGCAAAATATCAATGAATCAAAAAATAATCAAAGTATCTGGGTGTACTTTAACTAATATTTTCTTTATTTTTATTTTTTATGTTTGTTTTTACTAAGGCCAGATGTAACACTTTAATTTTGTACTTTTTTGTTATTGAACTTCGTCCCAGAATAAAATTATTTTCTATTCTATTCTACTTTGAGATTGTTACAGCTTAGGTTTTTAAGTGCATTTCGTGATCAATCGGATTGGGAATGGAGTAGGTGTTTGAAGAGGAGAGATTTGAAAGAGGATATTGATTTTGCGTGTCGAATATCTGGGGTATAGAGTTCCAGAGGTAGACAACTTGAATTAAAAAGGATTTATCAAACACAGCAATGTATATTGGAACAAATGACAAAATAATAAGAAAATTAAGCAAATCAACCTATCATAATTATAATTGATCATGAAAAAAGAAAATTATTATGAAATTTCATTCATTTAAACCAAAATATTCACGAATTACTATAAACTGTATCTCAACTAATAGTGGTCCGAATTTAATTATTTATTTTTTAATATTTGTAGGGAATCTAGTCATTTTCCAATTAATGATTAAAGATGCAATCTTCATAACTGTTTTCCTGAAATTTCGGAGGGATGTGACTATCTTTCTGTTATATATTAAAATTTTAATTTTTATATCACTGTATAATTTTTATACAATTAAATATTCAATAATACCAACGATAGCATTTATGAAAACTGCATATGTATATGAACATAATATTATATGAAGCTCATGCTACGTATGGAAGCCTGTTATAATCTTTCGGGTGAGCTCGGGCAAGCTTGTATTCCTTTGATTCCTCTATTACAACTATTATCCGTTACGATCTCTATTTCTCCTTTAGTTAATTATCAAATTCTTTCATATTTTATATTTAACTATTTTCTATATCAAAGATTAATGTGAAATGGTTAATTATTTCAAGTAAAAAAAAAAATAAAGGTACTTTAGAGGAAGCCAATATTGAAAATAGCCATTTAAGCTCTGATAGAGAACACCATACCTACGTTATATTAAAAACTGCTTAATAATGCACTGATATTCTGAGTTTAATCTAAATTGTTAGAGCCATTTTTGAGAAAATCTTAAAAATGTGTTAAATCTATTATATAAAGAACTACTTCCTGTTTGGCGATTTTAACGAAAATGTTGCTGTAACATTGAAAGCTTATAAAAACCTTAAATATGACATTTCACTTTTATATGACTTTTCGTTTTTGTGCTAGACTGATAACACACACACACACACAGACCATTTTGCATGACTTGGTTATTTGGACTCAGGAGACCTCAAAACATATATTTCCTTTGAAAACTCAGACTAGAAAATACTTACCGTTACTATGTATTGCATATGTTGGTATGTGAAAGTAAAAATTAAATTATATTTTGATTATAGGGTCTCTGTTGAGTCGAGAAGACATTCAGTGGATTCAGCCGTCTCTGTCAAAGTTTCAGAAGTGACACAGACTCTTGTTAAAAAAGTAAAAACTCCTTTCCACAAGAAGAATCACAGGAGTCGAAGAAGGTATCAAAATTTATCTTTTGAAATTTAATATGTCAATTACAAATAAAAATTATTTTATCTTAATCAATCCTGAGCATGAAGAAGTACAGCATATGTCTTTTACTTGATTTTTTTTTCTAAATCTTACAAAAGTGTACGATAAGTCTTAGCATCCAAACTTACCTTTAATTGATTCCAAGTTTTGGTTTATTTTAATTATTTTGAATAAATTAGTTTCCAAACAATATTGAAATAATAATTTTTTTTTTTTTTTCTTTCTAGGAGCCATCGAAGGCAACGGAGGCACAGCAAGCAACACGGCAGTCAGTCAAGCAATGATAAAGACATGGCTCTCCAGGTAACTGACAGATAGGCAGACTTTTATTTTTTCATACAACTCATGATTTTCAAATTTCAGTAAAAAATAAATATATAGGTTTTTGATGTATGGTATTTTAAAAATGTTCTGAGTTTAAATAAAGATTTAATTATTGTTTCACAAAGAATGACCCTCGAAATTCTTAAGATTAAAGAAAATGTAATGAAATAAAGAGTTTCTTAATTGTGGGTTGATGGTTGACTGTAGTGAATAATTGAAGAGAAAGGTGGCTGGGATGAACAGGCAAAAATAAAATAGTAAAAATAAATAAGTGTATTTATTTTATTATTATCATGTATTTCCATTGAAAACTCATACTCGAAAGATTGTTGCTGTCGTAAAATCAAGAGTGAAGTACACAAATTTCTGTTTGAAACAATGAGCAATTTCATCTCGCACGTTGCCAAAGCTGATAATATAAATTCAGAATTTTCTCTCTTGCTGTAAAAGTTAAATAGATCAATTATTAATAATGCTGCATTATTGAATTGTAATATAAAAAATTTTTGACAATGAAAAAACAAAACATTTTTACTGCATGGCTCCATCTGCCTGATCAATTATGAACCATAAGGTTAGTCATCAAAGTATTTAGAGTGAGGTGTTCTAATTGAAAATTAATATGTTTCTAGTGACTACTATATTTTTAGTGTTGTCACACAAAAGGAAAAGATATATATATATATAAGTTCAGTTGTGGCAAGGAAAGTGATTGTCAGAGTGAAATAGTTCTGTATAATGATAAGTGAATTATTTTAAACTAGTAGGCCCGTGTGAAAAATTCTCACAGCATATTGTTTTCAAATGCCTAATTATTGAGAAAAATAAATAATGCAACGTATCAAAAGATAAAAAAATCAATTGTTACTTAATCGATAAATATAAGCAACAAAGGAAACAAAAATAATTTTAAATCTTCATTAATATTTGGAATAAAAATGTTTACGAATTTCAATAAGCTGTATCTTTGCTAAAAATTGTCCGATTTTGATGATTTTTTTTTCCTTTTGTAGGGAATTTAGTAATCTTTTATATAATCATGGGCATAACCATGGGAAAAGTGTGTATTTTTTTAGTTATTCGCAAAAATAAAGTGTGTTTTCTTTCATAACTTGTTAGCCTGAATTTTCGGGTTGATTGGACTATTTTGCCAGCCTGAAGGAGAAAGAAGCCTTCGAAATTGGTGGCTCAATCTTGAGATTTGGTGAAGAATTAACGATGATATGGCTTGCCAATCAAAAACACCATAGATAAATAATATAAACTCCTCCTCTCTCGATCATAGAGGCCTCAAGTCGACGAAATGAGACATCTATTCAATGACAGTACTACAATTAATGGGTTCTGTGGTTGCGAACCCTATAAGCCTTGCATTATCTCGAAAATAGCACATTTTTGGGCTTAAAAACGCAGGATCCGATAGTTCCGGAGGACCTATCCGGATCTTGCTGTACGCATCAAAATCTTCAAGGTCCAATTTGTCCCGTATCGATCTACAGACCTACCACCGTTCCTGTATTGAGGCCTAGCAAAATGTTTGTATCGACTTTATTTATTTTAGAAAGAAAAACAAAAATGGAGAATACGATTCGCTGACCCCCCGTGAAATTCTGAATCCAACGGTACCCCATTCATGGTAGTTGAGCATTACAGGAGCTTACATTTGGTACAAAACCGATTTCGAGCCTTACTGTAATAATATATATGTGGATATGGCAAAATTGTGTAAAAATGAATACACAAACATCTAAGAAACAATATGTAAGATGAAGATAGGGTGAAGACTGTGAGACATCCTAAACAAAAATAAAATGACAAATTAATAGTACAATCAATAAATATAAAAAATTTAAAAAAGATCAATATGTACTTTTAAAAATTCCTGAAAACTTCCAGAAGAGACATAAACTTAAAGACAGAAAAAAAAAAGTAAAAAATTAAATTGAACCAGTTTGGTAACTTTTCACCTTATTGAATCACATATTTGAAAGCAATTTTTTCTCGTTTAAATAAAATAATGTAAAATGTATTGTTTTTTTTATAGAATATCAGCAAGCTGGTTATGGACATGCCAAAGACGTACCTCCCAGACCTCGGGCGCAGAAGAGCAGCCAACGTCGGGCTGGACGGCGACCCGATGGCTCTCCTCGCCAATCAGCTGTTCACGAACAACAGCGGAACCTCCTCCAGCGGGAGCAGCTCGGTGACCAGCCCGACCGCCTCCCCCAAGGACCATGGCCTCGACATCCTGAAGGATATCGATCAGGTTCAGGTAGCTAAAGAAGATAACCTTTAAATATATATATTATTATACTTGTACGTTAGGACTTCACATTATTATAATAATAAAAACATTCATATTGATCACAACAGTCCTATTTTATTTTATTTTTTACACCAACGTTTCAGCCTTTAGGCCATTTTCAAGAGATGAAACCTGTTAAAAAATATCTGGTGTGTCCACTCACACGACTTTCCTACCTATTTCAGAAAAGTTTTTATATCTTTACATATGTTCATGAAGAAACAAAAATAATTGAACTAGATACATTTTCCTGAAAATTGATCAAACATAAGATTTGAGTAAGATTTATTTGATAAACTATAGCAATGTAAACCGGCTTAAGGTAGATCAGTGTACACATTTTAATACTTACTAATATTGCTGATCCAAAACTTTTTGCCATAGCTTAGTATTGTCAAACAATAATTTCTGTTAAAAGTAGAGGAAATAGTGAAGATTGTGTGATGCGGACAACAGATTTTCTTACTTCCACTTAGTCATCTTTATTCTCTCATTCACCGCTTTCTGACACCAGGATATGAAACCGTAATCTTACATTGGAAATTGAATAGCTGTAACTTGTAGGAAATTTCATTACCTTTCAAACGACAGGCTAAACGTCGTAGGGAGTTAGGCCCCATAACATTTTTCTTTTCTTTATAACTTTTTTTTTCTGAATTTTTTCGGGAATTTAGTCTATATACGAAAATTGAAAGAACAATGATTAGGAGATTACAGGAAGGTTTCATCAAAATCGTTGGAGCCGATTATGGAAAAAGTCTATGGAAAAACATGTTTTTCATTTATTGCGCGCAAGCTATTATGCATGGAGCACTGAATTTCTGTCACAGGCATCAGTAGTCAATACCCGAGAAAATCTTGGCACAGACAGACAGACCAATGGCTAAAAATGTGTTTTGTCGGAAATTTGACCCGATTGCAATACTTTCCTTACCTAGTACAGGTAGGAAAGTAAAAATATATTTAAAACATATGGACTGAATTATCGTTGTCATCCTAACTCAATCAGTCAAATACTAAACCTAGAGGTTCATCCAAGTACTTAATGATTTGATTTGAAATGTGTTACTTAATATCTTTTTTTTATGAGATAGTTTGATATAAGTCGGTTATGTAACCAAGGATGCATTATATAGGGTTGTCTACTAAATATTAACTGATTTTATGAGTAAGTGTCCTTAATTTCAATGTTATCTTTCGCTTTTCAATGCACGTGATATACTGCTTTTCTGTAATCTGATGAGTAGAGCTATGATGATTTTCATTAGTAGTACCTCTTTGATTTGGTGGTCTTCAAGTTCATTTGGTCGGCCGGGGTGTTGTTCATCTTTCAGTAAAGATTCTCTCACATGAAATTTCGTGAACTAATTTTGACACTGACTTTCTTTTAAGGTTTAATAATCATAACTTTTTGTGTGATTGCTTAGCATTTTTTTCTTTACGAAAATAAAAAAGGAGAATATGTTGAAGCTATTATATTACTTTAAGCTACCATTTCAAACAGGGTTTCAATTTTAAACTAAACATTTGATCATCCAAATATTTATGTAGAATTATACAGGAAATGTTAAAAGTCAAACAAGAATAACGGGATCAAATTTTCTGTAAGTATACTAAGATAGCATTGTTATTAAACTCACTTACTCATAAAATCTGCAATTATTTAGTTGCCAACCATATAATTAAAAGTTTTGAAAAATTGTCATCTCAAATTCTTCTCTTCATCATATGAATAGTTCGTGGTACAGACCTCTTTTTATCGAATCATTAACATCGTAAATAGTTTCATCTCATCGTAACCTACAACTATTTTATTTATGAAAACTCTTGGAATTGAGGTGTTTTCAATCTGGAGGGGGGCAAACTTTGGGTATATAATTAGTTACTAAAAACTCGTAAATACATATTTGCTTTCTACTTGGACCGTAAGATAATTTGATCAGTAAGTCGAGAAAAAAGGTGGCCTTCAAAAATATTGAGCTGTTTGGCGTGACCTACACCCCCAAATTTTCAAAATAATGAGGTTATATAGAACAAACGACACAACATTTTTGTAGACCACCTTTTTTATCGATTTTGTGATCAATTTATCTTAGGATTCAAGTAGAAAGCAAATGGGTATTTGCGAGTTTTTAGTACCTAATTAAATAGACAAAGTTTGTCCCCCTCCAGATTGAAAACGCCTCAATTCCAAGAGTTTTCGTAAATAAAATGGTTGTAGGTTCAATGAGATAAAACTATTTACAAAGTTTCAGGTGGATGTTAATTATTCGATAAAAAGGGGTCTGTCTGTACCACGGGTTATAACAGTTTTTATATGATTTGATACTTTATTATTTATTATTAAGCAATATATTAAATAAAGAAATAATCTCTGATTGATCTGATTTCAGGACCAGGAAGAAGCACCAACGGTAACTGCCTGACGCCCTGGTATCTTTTATCCTTACAGATGCCTTGAACGCATTTGATCATATGAATGAAGTTGAAGGAATCATTCATTAGTGTGCCTATGAAACCTAATTTGATTAAGATAAATGTTATTTAAGATTTTGTATATAATTGTATTATATCCTGGCCAGTATCATATGTATTAATTTAATTATTTTCAAAGAGAGTTATTTAATCATAACTTTTTACTATTTGCTTTTTGTAAATTTGATTATTTTGAATGAATATGCTGTGAGATAAAGTTACGTTTAGTGGTTAAATTTATTGTATATATTGTACTTATGTATTGTTTGATAGATTTTTTATTTAAAACATAAATGCTTTAAATTTATCTTTGCTTGTTAACTAATTCAGTCCAGTTATTAAGGTGATTTTAAAAGAAAGTGAAGTTGTATTTATTGACCAATCAATTCCAAATTGGATTGTTAATTTTAACTTGGAGACTTAATTTGGCAGTCTAGTTTATTTAAACAATAAATATCTGAATATATTTATACTTTCATTTTATAACTAATAATAATAATAGATAAATTAGACTACTTGGAATGCCTAAATATTTGAAGATGTAAACAACTTATTATGATTTGTGACCATTTAAATATCACTGGGCTTATTTGTTTAATAGTTTTGTATAAATTAGCGGAACCTATTTTGATAAGAACTTTTTTATCTTTGAATTTAGTTTATTTACTTATTTTAATATGCAATTAAGCTGCATATCAATTATGAAAGGAATTTATAAATATATTTTGTATTTAGAACTTATCTGTTGTTAAGTTACAAGTTATTAGTTTACTAAAGAAGATGCTTAAGATGCTCTAACGATATCAGCCAATCCAGTCGAATCCAAACAAGTCTGATCCGTCAAGGCTTATCCATATTATATATCTAGTAGATGTGACTGGACTGGTTGAATTCTTTGAACATAATGTTATCAGCCAATTCAGTTGAGTCTAAACAGCTCTAATTCATCAAGGCTTATCCATATTATATATCTAGCAAACATGACTAGACTGGTTGCCATCTTTGAGGATACTTTTATGTAGCTTACGTTGTTACTCTTCCATTAGTATTAAACTGATAAAATTACATAGTATTTTAAAATATACCATTTGTAGTTATACCTATTTTTATTTATTTTAGATTGATGTTATAAAAATTATTTTAATAATTGCTAATGAAATATTTATCAGATGGACTGAATAAGTAAGCAAGCAAAATTATATATTACAATATTATTTAAGAACAAAATTATTAAGTTTCTTTCTGAAACTTATTTATCTTGAACACTTAAATAATTAGCAATATTAAAATTATTTATATTTATTATATTTTTGTAAAAGTTACCCTTATGGTATTTACAAAAAAAGTATTAAAAATCCTATCGATTGACTAAAGATAACAAAATTGTAACATTATTTACTTCATTTTCATTTTTCAACCAAATTATGTTTTATCACAAAATCATTTTCTTAAATGTTACATGGAAAAATCTAACATTGTAACCTTTTAATTAAAATATTGTATAAATCTTAAAATTATGAATTACCGCATTTATTTTCTAGTACCTTTTTTTCTTATCCATGTATGTAAACAATTTTCCTTAAGTGAGACTGAAAAATCTTGACTTAAATCCGGTGGTATCCAATTCAAGGCATGTAAATATTGTTTGAAAGATTCAAGTCTTCTGGAACAAAATGTAATTTATAATTGGCATGTTTGATATAAGTAACAAAATATGGCTACTCCTGACATCATTTTTATTGTATAAATAATAGTTACTTATAGTTTTCAATATGTAGGTGCTACATAAGTAACAGAGAAAAGGAAAGGGAGATACAATTATGGAATGCCATGATCTAAGAAACCCATGGTTATAGCACATGTAACAAAAAATTTGGGCACCCTAGATTTAAGTATTTGTTCTTTGTATATATTGTATTTTTATGTAAATATTGTATGTGAGTTTTTTATAATTTTATATTTTGTTTTACAACATTTTAATTTTAAGAGATGTATTTCGATAGGTATATGTATTTTAATAGGACTGTTAACTAAAATGTTTTATTTTTATGTGTATCATGATAACAATAAATGATTTTTTATTTGTATTTATTTATACTTTATTGAAAAAAAGATGAACCTTTTCTACCGTTCCAAAGCTGTTGATTTCTTAATATTCGGCATTCAGAATATGATTAAGTTTTTATTTTCACTTACCTATATAAGTAATATATAAAATATAATACTACACACCTACACAATATATAAAAAAAACCTGTAGCACTAACAACCCATGAAGAAGTACTGTTAAAAGGTAAACGGTTGTGAAGGAGGTGATTGGAATTATTATTTTATCTAAGAGTACCCACATTATAGAGGCTGGGCGTGCCTCAGATGGGGTCTCTCGACCCCAGGATCAATCAACGGCTAATGAAAAATTACTTGTCATCAGCCGGATGGGAACATGGGACCTTCAGCTTTGGAAGTCAGTGCTAGCCCACTGAGCTACCCCGCTCCCTAAAAGGCTGGTAAGTGAGGTGCCCAACAAATAAAAATTCCTATGGAAATTATATTTACTAATAAAACTTATTTTATTATCTTTTTATCATCCTTTTTTTGGTCATAATACATACACACTAACCATTTTGCGGGACTTGGTTATTTAGACTCCGGGGACCTCAAAGCGTGTATTTCTGTTAAAAATTCAGATTCAAAACTATTTAAACAGTTCTTTTGAGCGGTTAAAGTAAGCTAAGTTCGGTTTTTAAAAACTCATAAATTATTCGAATTTTTTTTTATAATACTTCATCTGTGCAAGAGACCACACTTTTAGAAAAACTTCCTTGCTTAATAACCTTTATAATTTATAATAAATTTATCAAAATGTGAGATTCACCTTAAGCTGTGTAAAAGAAAAGATGTGGTTTTTTATCCTGTCACGTAAAATAAACCGTGATTTCAGTAAAATTGACAATTAATTGTTGCAAAGATTTTATTTATTGTTGATTAAAGATTTTAATATTCTACATCTGGGATGCATTATCATAAACATAATTGCCTCAATACACTTTTTATTTATAAAAAAAGTGTATTTATAAATAAACAAATATTTTTAGTTTAAAATATTTTTCGAACTGTGTTTTTCATCCATATCTGTAATATAGGAATTGACCTGAATTTATAAATGATAAAATAAAAGCTTCTAGTCCTAAAATTTACATTTTTCTGAACATAAAAAAACAAACAGCAGTCTTCAATATTTCAAACGTAAATAATAGGAAACATTTAGTTGTTTACTTATATATATATACCAATGGAAAGTATTGCGATCGTGATAATTTTTGAATCTGAGTTTTTAACAGAAATACACGCTTTGAGATCCCTTGAGTCTAAATAACCAAGTCCTGCAAAATGGTTAGTGTGTATGTATTATGACCAAAAAAAGGATAAAAAAAAGGTAATAAAAAAAGTCTTAGTAAATATAATTTTCCATAGGAATTTTTATTTGTTGGGCACCTGGCTTACCAGCCTTTTATCTCTAAAGAGATAAATCCAGAAAACATAAAGTACTTATTCATTATTTGGCCATCATTTACTCTAACATGCTAGCTCAGGTGAGAAGGGGTTGGGTTGGATATTTTTATAAAGCAGCAAAAAAAGATTAAGAGATCTATTTACAGAAAGAAATATTTACAGAATTAATACAATGTACAAGCAAAATAAATAAAATAAAAGAAAAAAGAGAGGATTTATACATAATTACTATATATAATTAAAGATAAATAGGAAGATAATAAAAATACAAAAAAGATATTCTATATACAATAGTATGGCATGCCACATATACACAGCAAGAAGCGAAAGTCAAGATATATGACATGAGAGCACATCCGCATGCCTAAATATGAATTAACAATTAGTCACAGGAAACAAAAGAGAGAAGAGTTCTATTTTTTTCCAATGCTTTCTTAATCTTGGTTACAGTATGAATCTGATCAGTCTAGCTCAAAAAGGAAAAAGTCGTATGAAACCGGTATTACGTATTTAAGATAGGTATATGCCTTGGATGTGACAGCAACTCTTTCATTAAAATCAACTCACTGAAAGTGGCACTTTATATCAACGGTTAAACACATTTTTACAATTCTCAATACTGTCTCTTAACGATTTTGATAAAATTCATAAACTCGTGATCGTGGTAAAACATATCATTGTATAATTAAGTGCTTTTTAAATATCATTTAGGTCTTATCTCCATTGATGTCACTTTACAGGGCTTAAATGCCCAATGCTCATATATGTCTTCCTCTAAAGTACCTTTAATATGGTTTATTTTAAAACATTAACCGTCTTTTATTGACAGTAACTATAAAAAATGGCTAAATATGAAATTTGAAAGAATATGATAATTGGAAATAACAGAAGGTATATGTGTAATATATAGTTGGAAAACAGAGAATTTTAGAAAAAATAATTTCAAATAAATGAAGTTGTAGAAAATAATGAAGAGTGACAAAAAAATATAAATAATAATTTCAGAAAACTAACATTATTTAACGTAAATCACATGTTTCCAATGTAATTAAATGAAATTTTCCTACTAAATTAAATTTTTTTCCAAGTTTGAAAAAAAGTATTTAAAATCCACTGAATCATGCCAATGCCATGCGTAAATATTCAACTTGTGTTCCTCTAAACTATCCTTAATTTGAGGAAGGAGATGGTCCGAGGCGGCGGTCATAAATAGACTAAATAGTGAGTGGCAAAACTATTTTATTAAAAGCTGACGTTTTGCCACTCACTATTTAGTCTATTTATGACCGCCGCCCATCTCTTTAGGACCATCTCTATTATAAGCATATTATAAAAAGAAATGAAAACAAAATATAATTTATCAACTAATAAATAAATTCAATGCACTTTTTATTCTTTCTTTCCTCATAGGATATATGGGTTTTTTCCGGGCAAGGGA